ATGAGATACAATAAACAACATGTTCCTCAATACTTAGTAAAATGGAAAAATTATACAAATGCCCACAACTCTTATGTATATTATGAAGACCTTACACGCGACATGCAAGAATTTGTAAACAAGAATGATATTCCGATTACACCGTTTAAACGTAAGAAACGCAAAAGGAAAGTACAAAATGGCAAATTTTAGTGAGAATAATGTATGACGGTTATTAAACGCACTCTCAAAGTGAGTACTCGTGTATTTTGGGTGTCAATTAAAAGTTGCCTTCACTGGCCGCTTGTGTTTTGATGGTGCACACGTCAAACACAGAGTTGGTACGCATTATGCTGAGAATCCATCCTGTTTAAGTATTTTTAACACATCATACAACTCTGGACTTTGATTCACGTATCCATTTCTTCGTTGTTGTTTTGTATAGGAAAACTAAACAATAACATGATGATGAAGTATCATAGGGAAATCCTCAATATTTATGAGATATTAACTATGAATTTTTAGAAGACTAAGGTATTTAGAAGGTGGTTGCATTGAGATTAATTAAGGTGAACCGGCCATATTAATAAGCCAAAGTAATTAATGAGAAGATGGAATGAAATATACGAGAGCGCTATAGAAATGCAAATATGGATTTCATGATAATTATTGATAGGCAGAGACGATAAGCCATGGGAATTAGGGGATATGACAACCTGTAGGTTAAACCAAAAACTCTTTCATCTCTTCGGGCACGTAGTCTTTCACTCAGTACTGACCAAATGCCCGGAGATACGTTCAAATTACCATAGTACTAAGATGAATATGATTGAGTTGAGTACTTTAATCGAGTTGTCATGAAATATATCAGAAAATATTACCACCTGTAGGTTAAACGAAAAAGTTCTTTCATCTCCTTGAGCTAGTAGTCTTTCACGCAGTACTGACGAATAGTTCCTGGATACGTTCAAATTACCATAGTACTAAGATGAATATGATTGAATTGAGTACATTAATCGAGTGGTAGAAAAAATGGGAAATGTATTTATGTAGAGAATATTCGCCACTTGTAGGCTGAACCAAAGATTTTTTTCCAGTTCTTGAATTCTAGTACTCTTTCCACAGTATTGAGGAATAGTTTCAAGAAATGTTCAATTTGACCATCAGTAGGATGGAATTTATGGATAGATGTTGCCATTTGTTAAAATCCAGTACATTGATCGAGTGATAAATAAATTGTTTTTAAGGAATTAAGAGAAAAAGGCCGAGTTAGCATGTTAAAACAAGACATGTATGGAGGATGATATGCAGAGTTTAAAGAAAATATGATTAAAGTTAGAGCAAGATGAAACAATTTCCTGTTCTTTTGAGCTCGTACTCTTTCACGCAGTACTGAGGAAAAGTTCAAAGAATTTCGGAAATGGACAATGGATACGTGAATCATAAGTCAAATGGTTAATGAAGATTGCACGATTTAATAACGCAACTCGCTTCCATATTTCGAAATTCAGATGTACATCTGTCAAAATTTTTATACATACAATACAGACGAATTATGATATCAAGTAGAATAACGATAAAATTTCAGTTTAACTAAAATTGTACTGCCTTCATCGGAGGTTTAAGCCGATGTAATAATGTTTCATTCACGATTTTCATGTTCATTGAAACGCGTCTCTTTCTGATATTCTAGTGTTAGGCGCACGACACAATATACTACACGTATAAATGCTTCAGGAGAATATACTTCCTGCTATACTTGCGACATTAAAACGGCTTATGGAAACTCTCACCTTTCATACATATGTTCAAACTATCCAAAGTTCACAATTTATGATAGGGAGATGTTCTCCCGTTGCTACCACTAACCAATATGATTCCCTGATTCCTGAGAGGATTCAGGGGTCCTAAAATTACGTCATTTAACCTTTTATCGCAATTATGTGGGGTCATCGTATTGAATATTAATAGAGTTTGGATCTTCACCCTCACTTTTCACACGGGATCCTTACAGAATTCACAGCTTTCCAGACCTTTTACAGTCATTAGCATTCAGTAAGTATAATAAGTTACAAGTATATACTCAAATCATTTCTTTTAGAAGAACAATTGATTACTTCATTTCTATTTTTCCTAACCAATATGCCTTGCGTTTATTGTAATAAGAGATCATTGAGTTACATCAACTTCAAATGCACACACAAGATGTGTGTAAATTGCGTCAGATCTTATATGATACCTCTATTGACATTCAGGCCGGATTCATTGAAAGAAGCTACGAAGGGAATGAATTGCATTTCTTGCCTTTACAAGAATGGTGAAATTCCTCACACTCGAGTGCGAACTCAAAATATAGCAACTTCATGTGCGAGAGTTTATAAAATGTACAAAAGACAATAAATCATGTTTTCCGTTTATTTTGAACAATTAAAACAACGCAGCCGTAAAACTATTCAAAGCCTGGGACTATAAAAACTGAATTATGATTGAAAATTCAGGTCATTACATCATGTCAAATGTTTTAAACTCCTCTCGTTTTATTTTCAGAAATTCTCATTACCTATCATCAAACAAATTCATATACGCTTCTCTTGATTAACGGAACACAAGTAAAGACGGCATTTGATATACGCCGTCATTTGACCAAGTTTCCCGATGTATTTATTTTTTGAGTATGGAATCGTATTTACTTCACACACCCAGAAACCAGGGTGCATACATCGTCCTAGTTCTGATGTAACGACACTGGCAATCATTCGTCTCAAGTTATCGAAGCAAATGTCTAATCATTGTCTCATTTCAGGTTACTCGTTTATCAATAATATTGACAGTGCTCTCAAATACATTATAGCGTTTACAAATATGGCACAGATCAACCAGGACGGTTACAAGGCGGACCTCAGGTACGTGTTTGTACCGAAAACTGAGCTCCAATCGTTAAGAGCGCAAATCGTGGACCTACAGGAGGAGAAAAACAAACTACAAACTGATTTCCAGTCGTCCAGGAACCAGATCACATTATTGCATGGTGACGTGACAAGGAACGAGAAATATCAGAGCACGCTGGTGAGACAGAACAACATGATGGCGCTCCAAATACGCCAACTGCGGGCGCAAATACAGATGATGGCCCCATATTATTTACATAATTAATGGTAAGTAAAAATTGCTAACGTATTATTTGATGGTAATTGTGCATACCATCGTCCAGAAGGTTTCTCGCCTTGATTAGAATGGTTGTTATGCACATACTATATGTGGCGTATCACATGAAATCCTTCGTTTTGCTCCATTAATTACTCGGGGGAAATGATTTCCATAGATCGAATTACGTAACTCTGATATGGTCAAAATTTAACCGGATGTTCATCATGACGTCATCGTTTTTGCACAATTACAGTTGGACGTTCTAAAGGGTATGCTTGGTCTGTTGTGAGTAATCGATCACACCACGATCCTCGGGTAATATATTTGAAATAAAATAATTGAGGGGTGGGCCTGAATCTAAGAAGAAAACCCCTACAACACTTATAGACAGATTTCTGAAGTTTTTGACATGTCCCCCTAAGAAGTGTGAATGTCATGTTTTCTGGAGATATCCCCAGGAGAGAAATGTCCTGATGGACATGTTTAAATGAAAAATAGAGTGAAAAAGAGTGGAATTAGGATGGAATAAAATGACCAAGCACGTGTAGCCAACACTCAAAATTATATTTAGGGCTAAGTGTGAGAATTGCAACTCAGGATCTGATTTAAATTATTCCAAATTGGTTTCACAAATAAAAAAATGTTGGCAGGGAAGAGTTGTAAAATATAAATGCTCCCTCACTATCAACTTGGACAAATGAACATGTATTTCTGATAACAAACATTTAAGAATCTGCAAGTATTCTAGTTAAAGTGTCCTGAAATGGTAAGTTTTACTTATACTTAAAATGCACAAGCCTTATACACATATTTATCAATTAATTAATACATAATATATTGCTCTTAAGAATTTGTTAATGTTGGCAATGAATACATGGCATTAACCTGGAAAAATGTCACTACCTTGTAAATTACAGCAAATGTTTCAAAAAGTGTAATAATTCGCGATTGCTATGGTAACTATGCTAACACTGAAAACTTTTTGTCTCAAAAAATATATCTACTTTTTGGTGGTAACATAAATAAATAGGACTAATTTCAATTTTTCAATCAAGATTTTCATGTACTTTTAAATTCAGTAAAACCTGTGAGTGAGATATCTTTATAATAGAACACTTTTCAGTCCCTTTATTAATTATTTAATGATGAAAATGAACCTCAATAATGGAACTCTTTTCCAAGACAATTGATGTCAACAAACCTCCATAAATGTAATACCTACCAAACAAAACACTCCTTTGAGGTATCAAAGGTGTTCCACTTAAACTGGTTTCATTGTATCATTTTCTCATTTCTCTATCAAAGTCATGTTTTGAAGTAAATACAGCAAATAGTCATTACCTCTTGGCTAATTTCACAAGAATAAAATCGTAATAAAACAAGGGATCTGTATTAAATTCATACTTTAACAACTATTGTGTCAGAAATAAAGTACATACAAAACTTGCCTCTTATTTCTAGCAATGTCAAAGTGCTTCTCATAAATTCAAGAAAATTGATGTATCTGTACTTATCTCGGCTATAAAACACAATCACTTTGACCAAAGTCAACTTGCTTGAATAATCAATTTAAGTACTCTCATATCGAAAATACTACATGTATTGTATTATTAACCAAACTAAACTCAAACAAAACTTGTGAAAAAAACATGGTGTTAAAATCGGAATAATGGATTTGTTTCAATGTAATTAACACCCAGCGAAAACAGATTATTATGAACGTTGCAAGTTGTTGAGACCAGTGTACTAAAGAATTAGCTGCTTTATCGTGCAATGTCAGGTAGACCCAGCGGTGAATACACCCTTGAATTGAGGTCAATTTGACAGTATAAATACCTGAGTTTCACTTCAAGATGACCACAAAGTCTGGAGCGGAGAGATAAACTCGTAAAATAATGTAGTTAGGTATTAGCAACTGTAAATACGCTAAAAACATAAATCACATGGACTAAGGCAATCTGGCAGCAGGGAATGTGGTAAGAGTTTTGTTTTGTTCAAATACATAAAGTGAAGTTTTACAATTATGTTTAAATATACAACAAATGTTCAATACAGAAATTGATTTTTGTCTCAACAATTTCTTACTTAAATTCAGAGCATATAGTAATAGAATTGAAAAGATTTCTACTGATGTTTGTAATTCACATGTGAGACCCAAAATGGGCGGATTTGTCTTGTGGTCACATAGACTTCTTTTGATGCTATTGCAAGTGAAGATAAAAACTTTAATAACATGTAATACACACAAATAATGATTGATAGGCCATTAACATGAAAAACAACTTTTTAATATTACTGACGTGACAACGAGATGTGACATACAAAAGATTCTATTATAGGTGCCCCTGACCTTTAACATTGTGGTATATCATTACATACTTCGGGAACTTCTTACGCATGGCTTATATATATTTAAGACACAGTTCAATAAAATCGAATACAGCCTGTCATCTTTCTCATTATCAAGTCAGTGTGATTCTCATTTAAACTTAGTAGGTTTTTCAAGAAGAACTACTGGTGCATAACAATATACATAATGTTTATGATTTTGTAATTTATCATTATTAAAGAATATATAAAAATGCTCATTTTTGATATGAATAAACTCTGCCTTGGAGAACCAAAATGAAGTCATCATTAATCTCCTATAAATCAAAATTTCAATTTTTCTTTATTTGTTATCAAATTGCTAGACATATTCACATTGAAAGAAAGGAACATAGGAAGATATGATACATTTTTTCAAAATTGAAAACAAATTCAATCATGTTTTTACCTTTACGTACATGTACTTTATCGTAGAAGCTTACTAAGTTAGAATTACAGAATCAATTTTTCTTCATTTGTTATCAAATTGCTAGACATATTCAGAAAAGGAACATAGGAAAATATGATACTTTTTTCAAAATTGAATAAAATTTTGATCATGTTTTTACTTTTTTGCTTTTAGTGGAAGGTTACTCAGGTTAGAAATACAGGTGATTACATATATTTTCTGCTAAAGCCAATGAACTAAGTGACCTAACTTCATACAAGTCTATAATTGATTTTTATCATTCAAGAAATGCAAATTCAAAAGATTAAAGTTTACTCACTTAGACAGAAAATTCATCAAATATTTGGAGTAAGGATGTAAAGGGAACTTGTCGTGTTTTCCTTATTGTAAACTTTTCAAAAAACCTAAGTGGGATTCAGTCAGTTCACAAAAGTTATATGTCTGGGTTATTTTCTATGAGCTCTGTTTAGGTAACCTGCGGTAAAAAAAAAGTAAGTTTCATTTCATGTCTAGGCCTTTTGAGTTTCCTCTATAGGTTAAAATGTCTGCACTATACTGAATTCTTAATTTTTATTGCATTTTATTAGAGTTGAAAGGTGAAAACAGAATGCAAACATAGTTTGTATTTACTATACCAGAAGCAACAATAAGGAAGTGGTAACTAACTGTATTTCAATGTTTACCATTTCAAGAAAAAAAGGAATTTGCAAAACTTTGGCAGACACCATATGATCTGTATAAAGGTAAGTTATATATGACTTGACTATGATAACACACACTTAATAAGATAATTTGCTGGGAAGTTAGTGGCTAAAAGTTTCCAAAATTGTGAGATAATTTTTCAAATATTAAAAATATTGAACAAATGTTTATTCATCAAATGAATTATACATATTTGTTAATTTAGGACTTTATAAAAAATAATAGCTATTTACAATTCATGCTTTTTTCTATTTTAAATCAAAATATATGTGTAGGTGTAAATGTGAAATATTTTATGATGATATGAGGCCACTAAGCATATTTACTACAAGACATTTATTGGTTTTTCGCTAAAGTTTCAATATTTACGAGCTTTTAAATGTTACTTTATCACCCTGCTTTTCTAGGCCCAAAGGCAACTGATGTTGTAGATTTGAAGGTAATTTGTTAAACAAATTCCTAGGATTTTTAAAATCAGTTTATATTTTTACTCATGTTAGCATAACATACAGTGATGCTGACGCACGGAAAAAATTATCATTAACAAAGTTTTTTTCATAAAGCAGTTGAACAGAAATAAAAACTTCTGAATTAGATCTATGTTCAATCAATGGTGTTCAAAAAGCAAAAGTTTCACTGTAAGTATTTAATAATTTAATCAATATTATATCAATTTTCATTGATTCTTTGTTATTCAACAAATGTAATTGTTACTGATTCTAGAGATACACATACTATTAAAATTTTTGTCAACATACATGTACAGTGAAACCTGCAAAGTGGAACAACTCTAGAAGTAGAACACCTCTGTTAGCGAACACTTCAACTGACTTGATATTAAACGGACCTCTATAAGTAGAACACCACATAAGTAAAACACATTTTGAACTACCAAAGGTGTTTTACTAAGACAGGTGTTAATGTATTTCTAAAATTTTAAGAAAATGGCTGAAACATCTGAGGTTTGGACTCTGCAAAACACCTACACATACAAGTAAATAAACAAGTAATCTAAACAAAATAGAAAGTGAAAGGTATTGGCCAAATCAACATTGTTTATAGTAAACACCTCAGCTAGATCATCAACAAATTGTCATTAAATCTGAAAATGTTTTTGTAACTGTCACTGAAATAACATCAAATCTTTGTCCAAAATCTCAGTTCATTTGGAATAAGGATGCCGTAAAGTGAAAATTTCACCTGAACTGATCAGAATTGAAGTACATGCATTCTTTTCTTAAACATAATGATGAAATTATCAGGCTAGAAATAAAAATTATCAATACAAATATTGAAAGGAAGTATGCATTGTAAAACGCATATGGAATCGCCCTTTGGCACAGTTGTGGTTTTGGGCACCTTGTTTGGATTGACCTGGATTTGATCCTTTTAGCACCTTGCATTTGAAGACAATACCTGATGCTATATGAGGAAACGGATGTTGTGTCTAGTCAGCATATGGTATAGAAGGTGTATATGACAGATTGTTGTAATTAGAACAGTTGTCTTGTACCATTTACACAGTATCATCCTCCTTTTTTACTCATATGGAATCCACTTGTTAAAATAACAGGCAAATAACATCAAAAGCCACCTTTTCTACTAAAGAATACTATTTCCCAGAATCCTTCATGCATACCATATGATTGGTATCAACCAATCATCTCTCGAATCAGTGGACTATATCATAGACAAATGGAGAACTACATGGCTTAATTTGCTGAACTTTTGACCAGGTAATCATCAAAGGTGGGTCAAAATCACAATGCACAACATCACAAACACCAAATTAATTAAAATCCAGATCATTTTGTCGTATTTAAAAATGTATGTATCATTTTAAAATATGTGCAATAATCATATGATGAGGAAATATGTCACTTTATTTCTAAATTCTTTATACTTTATCACCAATATATACTTTATTCCACTAAAGATTTGCTGGGAATGTTCCTCTTGTGTTGAGGATATGTGTTCCTTCTAACCCCCTGCCCACACCCTATCATTTCCTTTGAAGTTTAGTTTCCCTAATTAGTAGATTCCTGATCTGGCTGACCACAATTCTGAGCTATCTGGTGCTCAAAGCATTTTTGCAAGATTCTAATTTGACCGATTCTGACAATAAAAGTTCAAAACTTTCATGAACTTTCAATTTTCTCAACTGTGACAATATTTTCAACTTGGTGCAATGTAATTTTTAAAACCAGGGAGATCGATGGAGTAGATAGTGATAAGACATACACCTATAAAGAAGTTTTATTGTTGTTTTTATCTCAGTATTTTGTTCACATGGCACCCTCACTGACAGACACGTCCTCTCATTGCTTCCACCATTCAACACTGCTGGGACTTGACAGGTAGGTGGCCATATAAGTCTCCATTTTAGTGTGATATCTTCATTTGAAATATAAGAACAATAAACTGGAGAGGGAACAAATGTTAAAGGTAAGAATATTTCTCTAAATCTAAATTAAATTATGATTTAAATCAATTTTACATTTTTAAGTCAACTTTACTTTTTCAAAAATGAAATAAAATTACAGTGTCTGACCTTATTTAAGTGTGACTAATATAATCATGTTATGAAACAATAAGTTATAGATCATGTCAAAATAGTACAATGTTATACCATTACAAAAATTCCAGTATCTTGATTGCTTGATTTAATACCATGTGATCAAGAATAACAAAAACATATTTCACGCGTTCCAAGCTGAAATATTTGCTTCATATTTTTATAATGTTTGACACGTCTTGTCTCATAAAATTAATAAAAATATGCTTTTAACATGTTTTAAGTGTTTTTAAAAGTAGGGTTGCCCTTTTAACCTTTAGCAGACCACCGGCGACCGCGTCGGCCCATTCAAAATTACCGCCAGAATCCACCGGCGGATCCGGACGACACAAATCTAACTTTTGAAAACTTTACTTTTTCCCGCCGTTCTTATGATCCAATTAGATTGCCCGATTTATTCAGTCCTTAGTAGGTGACTTCCTGTTGACCTAGAAATGGCGATGTTTCGAAAAATATTTCTCAATTCAACAATTTAAACAGTGTTTAAGTCGTTTTTAGTGAACAAATCGTACAAAATGACGGCCAAATACGATCACAACGAAAATGTGGAGGAAATGGATTGCGATTTCGAGCTCTTTAGGCTCTTGGTAGCCGATAATGGTCATCGAAAATAGAAACTAGAATATTTTCTGAACTGAAAAGAAGAACATTCGATCGCTGCAAATTCAGTTTTCGATTCTGACCAGACGTTGAATCTCCCGAGGGGCGAAACGGCGGATTCCGGAGGAGTATTCATGGTATATTTATGCCCAGTCGTGTTTATGTACGAAAAAAATTCATGAGAACATTTTTCTCATGAGCCACGCTAGTGTATCTTCCCTTTGTGAAAATTTTATCCAGATTCATTCAGTAGTTATTGAGATATTAATTATTTAGTCCAGGCATATCATTTTTGAAAAATAAGTCAGATGCGTAGGATATATTTGCTGAAATAAGTCAGAGTGCAGAAGGTTAAATGAACAGAATAATTTTAGGTCATCAATTCATCATTATGGTCTAGAGTTTTATACAGTCAATGCTTTCATGGGTTCTACTTTGATAAGTGATAGGTACAGACATACAAGGGAAGTTACTTGAGCTACATGTTGTATGTGTCTTTAAGAAAACTTGTATAGAAACATATAGAACAATGGTCATCTAGGGAGAAGTTCTTCGCTTTGATGCCTGGAAAAACAAACTAAGAGTGGAAAAGTTGTCCCTGGGCCCTGGGGGTGATACTGTAAGATTATTTGTTACTGAACAATTTCTCTTTAAAACACATAGCTTAAAATCCCTACTAATGAACAAAAAATATTCAGCAAATATTTCATCTCGAACAATATTTCAAAGAGATATGTTGAGGTATTTTTGATCGTATTTAATAATATGCTTTACTTGCAACTTCATATACAAGTGAAAGGCTGCTGATGACAAGATGATAGGCAAGCATCTACTCTTGGTTAAAATGATTATTAACAGCTTTAAAAACCTCAAAGGATCACAAAGGGATATGATTTATATACTCCAAAACACGATCAAAGATTTGCGTACAATCATAAAGTAAACTTATTTTTCAGACATTGTCATTTATTTCTTACAAGTCACAAAAACTGAACAATAGATCACAAGCCACAAAAAGAAACCACATAAACAACGGTTTATGTCCTTTTCTCAACATTTCTGACTATTAAATAGTTCACCAAAATAACACCTTTATTAATATTTACTTGTTTAGGGAGGTAAGGTAAACATATGGCTCAGAAGAATCTTGCAGTAATTGAACCTATAGGATATGATATTATTTAGGTCAGGGTATGACAGTAGTGCTACAACCATTATCCCTCCTCTTCTCTAAACTAAGATAGAAAGTGGGAGTACAGAGCCAGTGTGCTCCACAATATATAGAAAGTGGGTGTTACATCATGTTTAATCCCATATAATATATAAAAGTGAACCTTTGTTGCCTTATTTGAAAAGGTGGATAAGCTCCAAAGACTCCTCTATCTCTGTAAGAAAGCATAAAAGCATATAAGGAACTCTAAAACATAAAAGGACTCTGATATTAAAATCAAAATGAGAAAACATAATTTCAGAATACTAGTTCTGACCCTAAGTGAACCCCACATTGTTATTCCCTCGAATGCTATAAAAGGGAAAGTGGTTGAGCTTATCAAATATATTGATCACCCATATTGTGAAGATAAGATAGTCAATTGCTGAATACCAAATTATTTCTAAGTTCAAGTGATCTGTGATAACCCATCTCCCCTTTATTGGGAGGCTGAAAAGAAAACATGATACCACCATGGAGATACCAATCTGTTCAAAGGAAATTGGGATTAGAGGAAATGTTCCAAAATGTAATTAAAGATTCCTATAGCTTATCAAAAGGTACAAAGCTTTGAAATCAGGAAAACAATTCCCAAATATTTAGACTTTGTCTTTTGGAATGTTTAATTTGTTATTCTGTTTCTATATTGTGCTTGGCTTTCTCCATATATGGTACATAAAATACTATTTCATTTGTAGTTTTCAAATAATTTTTACCTATTACTGTATACTAATCTGCACCTATACATTGCGTCTATAATTTCAGATCTATTTTAGTTATTTTATTCATAATTAGGTTACATAAAATGTGCTACTATATTCTGATTTAAGATTGTGTAAATAGCACCTGAATCTATAAAAATATATTTTTAGCGGTTTAAGATTTATAAACCTGATATCAGTAATACATAATGAATAATAAAACTAAAAATTGGACAGAAATATGACATTAACGAAATTTTATGAATAAGGTTATCTAAGGTTCATTATGAAGTTTGATTACATGGGCGTAACTTAAAATACGTAATTGTAGGTACAAAGTCAGAAATATGAACACTTACCACTTTTTATTAAAAATTGGAAACCCTGAGTGGTAAATATGCAGTTAAAATGGTCACATGGGAGCCAATGGATTAAATGTATAGCAGGGGTCAGAAACACACATAGATCTGTAGTTAAATTGATTAAACTGATTAACCCATGAGGCATTAAGGCTCCAAAATGAGCAATATTTCCCTGAAGTCACTCATGCAAATCTATTTAACTATTCAGTCTCCATCAACTGGTCGCTGTATCATATAATGATCACAACGAACGATTTAATGTTACTGATTCTAAAAATGTTCCGACCAAATGCTTTGCAACGCTATTTCTCATTGCATAAAGCAAACATAAACGTCAGGGTTGCCATCAATCGTAAACACCTGAGGCAGAATCCATTAATTTTGACATACTTCTATATACTAGACTACTTTTTACCCATCCATGGACAATGTCAATCAGTAAGACAGTTTGTTAAACACTTTTTTTATGTTTGTATTGTATAATTTAGCAGCTCTCTCTGCTGTTTTACATATGAGATATATCAATGTAAAGAGTCAATGACTCTCAAGTTGAAAGATAGACAGCTTTTAAGTTATTATTCAGATCTGAGATTGAATTTCATTGATTATTGAAATGTAAATTATTCTGAGAGAAAAAAAAGAATTAAAAAATGAAGATTTTAAATTTCAATTCACACAAACATATCAGTTTCCTTTACATGCATACTGATCATTCTTTTAATGTTGTGTTACCAGCTAGAAATACATACTTGCTTTTTTATTGCAAATGCCCCATAAACCAATGAGCAAGATAACATTTTTACAAAATACAGTAAAACCTGTATATATGAACATTTCTTTAATCTGAATTCATCTTAATGAGAATACTTTTTTATCCCAAATACTTAATCTGAGATAGACGTTCATATTAAAAAACTTCAAAATATGAACACCTGCCAATTTGAACACTTTAGGCTGGCCAAAGTTGTGTTCGAATAAGACAGGTTTTACAGTATCACAAAACTGATGCTGAAACAACAAACTGTTGGAATTGAAACTAGAAAATCTCAATGAAAAAATCTTTTTGTTATCTTACAGATAAATGTCCTACAGTATTGGCTACAAGAGTTCAGGAGGTGAATATAATTCAAAGGATTTATTGGTCAGAATGATGATTCGTGTAAATGGACAGACCAATTACGAGGCAGAACTATGAAAATACAATAACTGAAATCTCGGGAATGATATCTGAATAAAAGTGTAGCAAAATAAGACAATCATCCTGAATATTTCAAAGGAAACTACCACATGCATAGAGAGAGGATCACAGAAAAAGCAAGTTCCTGAATTCAAACAACTTGGTTTATTGTTTCAACAGCTAGTGAGATTCTGATATAATTTGAAGTAAGTGGTTGTTGAAACACAGGAATCATAAGCTGAAGATACCTCTATTTTGGAAGTACAGTCAGATCCAAGAAACATATCTAAATTATAAATATATTTCCATATTACATTTTGACACTCTAAGTGAAAATACTTGTAATTGCAGATTTTGAATGATTAGATAAACAAGAGTTTTGTTTTTGCCACCACTGGATCTTAAAAAGCTTGATTTGTTATGATTGTTAGATGATGTGACGACAGCTTGTCTGAAGAAAAATGAAGTTACTGTGACATAAACGTCTAAAGACCTAAGAGAGCCCTTATTAACACGAATTTTAGATATTTTAACATCTGGATTAGCCCTTATTCAGACTAGAAGGTGAAGGGATTATCAAGGATAGTCAAAGGTGATGACGATTTTTCATAGTTTTCAGAAAAATCATATACAACAGATTTAATACTGTGAATTTAAATCTAAACTCATCAAAATGAACACTAACTGGAGATATTTCATTATTGCCATTGTGACATCATATCAAGTTTGTGATGTCACACAGGGATTTGGGGACAATGGCCGAGACAACTCACAGTGCGGGGGTCAAGAGACATCATGTAACACAGCTACACAACAATGTAACAACCTGTTACAAGTTCAGAGCTCCGTCATCAGTCTTATGACAAGCACTCACGAGTATACTAAACAAATCGCAAAACTGAATGATCGATTTATGCAACTTACAGCTGACTTTCTTGAACTACAAGCCCAAGTAACAGGCCTCAAAACTGATAACCAAAAGGCAACATTAGACATTGATGAGCTAAGACATCAGAAAACAACCCCGGTGGATCAACAAAAACATCAAAACTTTTGGAATACATTAACACATACTGGACGCAATCATGAAGCTAGACCAGATTCCTGTAATTGCCACACAGAGATTCAAAGACTTGAGAGAAAGATCCAGAATGTGACAATGACGATGGAGAAGGACATACAGTCACGTCATACTATCATACACAAGATCCACAAAGTGGAGAATGACATGAATAAACACAATAGACACATTAATAGGATGGAGCGGAATATGGAGCACCTGGAGCAAAAGAGAGGGCATCAGGCTGACATGGATCCCAGACAGGTAGGTACTACTATTTAGTTCACTATGGGACAGGAGGGAACAAAAATGGGACAGGGGTAACCACTATGGGACAGGGGGAACCAAAAAGAAATGGGGAGGTACCACTCACTATGGGATAGAGGGAAACACTATGGGAAATGAGGAAACTACTTTGGGACAGGAGTGAATCACTAAGGGACAGGGGTGAACCACTAAGACAGGAGGGAACTACTATGGGACAAGAGTGAACCATGAGGGATAGGAGGGAACCGTTGTTGGGCAGGAGGGAACAACTGTGGGATTGAAAGAATTTTCTTTTTTAAATGAACAGTATCAAATCTCAAGGCTATTGTTTTACAGAATGTTCAAAGAATATTTAGGAATTCACAAATTTCAACATGTGACTGCAGGTTATTGCTCTGCATTATACAGTGACCTGTGTCAAGTGGACCCAGAGCAAAGTGTTCAATATATTCGGGGAAACTGTTATTTTGCATGTTAATGTTAATTTTTCAGGGAGGGGGTAAATGAAGATTTCATTAGTGATAAATGCCAATTTTTGAAAAACATCACCATTTTAAAATTTCATCATATGGGAAGGGGCTTAAACAACAATGAAATAGTATTGACAGAGTCCTTTAAATATATACAAAAGTATCAACAAATCAAATAGAAAAATCAAAACTGAAAAACTGTACCTTGAATCAAGGTTTGTGTGTATATCTAGATGGTGTCCAAGATGATGGAAACTTACAGCAATACTAATTCAGTGATCTTATGTTGTAGGGGAGCGCAATGACAGATATAAGACAACAGATGCAACGTCTGGAAGATGAGATTGTTTACTTAAAGAGTGCACCCCCAGTTACAGCCCCTATTCCTGCCGCTCCACTTAATGCACCCCAAGGTATGTCACCCATATTTGTCTATAATAGAACAGTGCACCTCCTGTCACAGCACCCATACCTGCCGCTCCACTCAATGCACCCCAAGGTTTGTCACCCATATTTGTCTATAATTGAACAATGCACCTCCTGTCACAGCACCCATACCTGCTGCTCCACTTAATGCACCCCAAGGTATCTCACCGATATTTGTCTATAATTGAACAATGCACCTCCTGTCACAGCACCCATACCTGCCGCTCCACTTAATGCACCCCAGGGTATGTCACCCATATTTGTCTATAATTGAACAGTGCACCTCCTGCCACAGCACCCATACCTGCCGCTCCACTTAATGCACCCCAAGGTATGTCACCCATATTTGTCTATAATTGAACAGTGCACCTCCTGTCACAGCACCCATACCTGCCGCTCCACTTAATGCACCCCAAGGTATGTCACCCATATTTTTCAATACTTGATTTTGATATATTTTCTTTATTGGCAATGAATGTAAGGTCAAGTAACTAAAAAAGAAACAGTAAAACAACTTGGTGACAGTAAGTGTTTTAACTTACTCTTTGATGTCTTATCTTCGAAAATTCATTTTTCTAAAGCTTTAAAATGTCACAATTTATTTTTACAGTAATGTTTTGTCTGCAATTTAGTACTAAAGTATCTTGACACCCTAAGCATATATTCACTTAATTTATGATAATGTCATGTTATTAAAGTAACATTTATCATTTTTGACATCTCTCAAAGCTGTAGCCTGTAACCAAACTATAAGGAGAAGTAGAGATCTTCACGATAGTATCATTTACAACATTACTGTACCAGATAAAATACGGTAGAGATGCTATACTTAAAAATGCACAAAAGCACTTGACAAGTGGAATATGAAAATAATAATAAATCTATTTGTTCATTCAAGGATATATTTTTTTCAATATGACATTTCAAGCATTGGAAATGTGCTACTGTATCGCTATCCTCATTCTATAAATTGACTTGAATTTGACACTTGGAGCAGTAGACTTATTAGTGTTTATAGCCTATTATTTAGATGCCATATTTAGATAAAAGAACTCACTATAAGTACTTAAAAAGAACTATTTGTAAACATTAATCCTTGCACACAAGATAATACTGAAAATAAAGATATGAAAAGGACAGCCTGTATTCTCAAGTGAGAACATGAAGCATAGCTAAGAGACTTAGAGTGTTGGGTATTTTGAAACCTTGTGGCTAACTCTATCAACTGATGTATCATTTTTGTGTTCAACAATCTTCCATTTCTTTATTTTTTGTTGGATTGTTAGGTTGTCTTTGTTTGTTTGATATTCTTTTCAGCAATTTTCCTTGTATTTTCAGTGTTTTCCTTTGAATTAAATTGTAAACATTCTTTAAAAATCTGATGAATAAAAATTAGTTTAATGAAAAATATCTACAAAATATTCAAAATATAAATTCATTTTTACTGCTATGAAACTAGCTCAAGTATCCCCTAACACATCTTATATCTGAAGAAATACCAAGTCAACCTACATGCCAATGAATTTTTCTTTTGAAGAGCATGTAGAAATGCCGTGAACAAACTACTCAAAGAGGGTCAGATAAAAGCAATCGCAATTAGGAGAAACACTTGTAAATTACAGGTCATCTAACCTATTTCAAAAATTATGTTTCTTAACCTCTTGAATCCCAGGCTCAGTTGAAACCGGAGAATTTTTCACTTTTGCAACCTTTTGACATTTTACTACATACCTATACATCTTGAGATGCTCAACTTAGTAAAATTAGACGGGTGAGGTCATTTCTACACCTTTAACAACAATTTTTGTGTAAATTAGATGAAAATTGTTCAAAAAAGAGCAATTTTAGTAAAAAAAAATTGTGACGGATTTTCTCGTCACTCTGGGTTTCAAGGTCATTTCTGAAGATTTCTCATCACTCCAGGTAGTCAAGAGGTTAAGGAAGCCCTGAAAAAGCTCTTATATTATAAAACACATTAATACATGTTATTTTGAAAGAAAGCTTAAGCAAATACAAAAATGAGCATAAATGATACATATTTCATTTGTATTACCCTTGGTTAAAATAAACATAACCTCTCACAAATTTTATTTTTCTGTGTGAATTTGTTTAACAACTGTATATGTATTTCCATACCTAAGCAAAATAAAAATAACATTATACACAAAAGCCTGTTCAAGTTATCAAGCTCTATAAAAATTAAAATCAATGTCCATATATATTATATAATACAGAATTCATCATCTTTTATAATAAATGAACCCATACATGCAGATAATATCTTGTCATCGCAATTTTACTTTGGGCATAGATACCAATGTATTTTTGGTAGATGAACCAAGAAACTCATATCTCATATCCCACAAGTTGCTACAGTGTATTAACAGAACATAATGAACTAGTGAAAGGAAGTCCAGGTTGAATTACATATTAACAAGAAAATTAAAATCTAATTTTAGAGGTACTGTACCCTCTTAACCTTGTTTTTGAAGTGGATGAGGAATTTTCGTAGGATTCAATAATAATATATTGTGCATGTTATGTAATATACGAGTATAATTTACAACAGACAGAAAGTATTCAAAGTATGATTTATAGGGTTGAGAGATCATTTCTATAATGACATTTGTATCTTTAATCATTTAACATAAACAGTAAGAATAAAAAAAATCGGTATATCCGAACACCTCTCTAATAGGAACATGTCTCATTAAGAACACTTTTTCTCAGTCCCAAACTTTTTATCCCCCACCGACACCTGCTAATATGTTAAGGAAACCTTGAAATGTGAACACCTGCTAATATGTTAAGGAAACCTTGAAATGTGAATACCTGCTAATATGTTAAGGAAGCCTTGAAATGTGAATACATGCTAATATGTTAAGGAAACCTTGAAATGAGAATACCTGCTAATATGTTCAGGAAACCTTGAAATGAGAATACCTACTAATATGTTAAGGAAACCTTGAAATGTGAATACCTGCTAATATGTTAAAGAAACCTTGAAATGTGAATACCTGCTAATATGTTAAGGAAACCTTGAAATGTGAATACCTGCTAATATGTTAAGGAAACCTTGAAATGTGAACACCTGCTAATATGTTAAAGAAACCTTGAAATGTGAATACCTGCTAATATGTTAAGGAAACCTTGAAATGTGAACACCTGCTAATATGTTAAGGACATCTTGAAATGTGAATAACCGCTAATATGTTAAGGAAACCTTGAAATGTGAACACCTGCTAATATGTTAAGGAAACCTTGAAATGTGAATACCTGCTAATATGTTAAGGAAACCTTGAAATGTGAACACCTGCTAATATGTTAAGGAAACCTTGAAATGTGAACACCTGCTAATATGTTAAGGAAACCTTGAAATGTGAATACCTGCTAGTCAAAACATTTTTGGCTGATATCAGTGGTATTCGGATTACACAGGTTTTATTGTATATCAAAGTTACAGTATTAAATAACTTTGTGAAATCAATAAACAAGTCAAAGCGACCAAATGCAGGAAATAAACTCTGAATAGAAAAGTTGCAACAATTTCCTGAATTTACCACATACAAAAGAAATATACTTATTCCCAAAACCATACATCAAAATTTTAAAAGGTTTGATATATGGAACCATATATCAACCCATTTATGTTTATAAAGCCTTTCATCACATAAGATGTGTTGTTTAAATACAATAGTGGCCTCATTATGTGGAGATAAAAATTCTATATGTCATTCAGTACTTATCATTCATAAGTTCTCTAGTCACATTGACCCATAAATTATATAGGATATCATGCATGATTTGCACAATATCACTAAAAGTTGAGAGATAGGCTCAAGCAAGGAGTGCGTTACATGACCTATTGATAATGTCTTGGCAGCTTGGCATCAGGTAAAATCCTATTTGCATACAACTTTGAAAAAATATCTATCATTATAATTCAAATTTAAAACTGGATTGTACCTATTCGAGATTGGCTGTGTAGGACCATACATGTACATGCTTGTTTTGAAACATTTTGATTGGTTAGAATGTGACAATGCATCCTCACCTATGTGTTAATGTTGAAAAACATATATGAAACTTCACATTGACATTAAAAAGTGTTTTTATGATGAAAATATAATATGAGAGAAATATAATAATAAAAAGGTTGAGTGTATTTGCGGGGCAAGGCATGAGAACTTAAAAGAGGCAATGAACTATGTACTATAATAACAGTACATGATGTCTGAAGTTTGGCTGTTAATTCAACATGTAATCCATATCATTAATTGCATGCCAGACCACCCAGCCACCCAGTCAAAGAAATAATTTTTTTTGAATTCTGAGTTGAAATATACATGTGGTTAATTAAACAACCTCACACAACAAATTATGTCTTGAATTCATTGCAAATCATATGCGACTGCACATAAGAAACCAATCAAGACAACAATTCCACATTTTTTTATCCTTATGGTTATTTTCATTCAAATATATCTATTGTAGATGCTGGACCATGCCCTAAAGACTGGGTACACTATATGTCATCATGCTACAAGTTTGAGAATGTGACAGTGAACTGGCCAATGGCAGAGAGGCATTGTCGGGCCATCCACCCCGAATCAACGCTGCTCTCGGTAGAAACCCAGCAAGAGAATGAGTTCATCATTGCGTACAGAGATTACAATGGAGGTACATGTTAATTATAAAACCATGATTCTTTAAAATTTGAATGTGGAAGTTAAAAAAGTAGAAATGCAATTGGCTTAAAGATCTATTTTTTGCATAAATCACAGTGGTCTCGGCAGGATTTCTCCCAAACTTCCTACTTTTATCTCTTTTAATCCAAAAATCTCATAATTTTACCATTTTGGCAGTGTGCAAATATATTTCAAACATGGTGAAATGTGATTTTCTTCAAATCAGAAAGATAAGACACTGAGTATGAAAATAGAAAATGTTAACCTTAAAATGGCTGACCTGTAAAAATTGTTAAATTCTAAAATACCTCAATGACTTTTGGATCACCCCTCGTATGTTTGTGTTTTAGCTGAATGGACCAGCCCATGGTGGTGGGCTGGGGGTACAGACATGGAAAGAGAGGGCAGCTGGATGTGGATCGGCACAAGAAAGCCTATAACATTTCACTATTGGATCAAACCTGGTGCAGGACAGCGAGAGGATGAAGAAAATTCAGACTGTATGTACTACACATCAAATGGAGACCATAGGTGGGATGATTGGAACTGTAAATCTATTAAGATTAACTTTGTATGCGAGATTATCCTGTGAACAGGTTAAATATGCGCTTTATATATATCTATCAGTAAAACATGAATTAAGTTCCTTGTGTGCAATTGTATTGTATTTTCTACTTTCATACACCTATTTTTCAGACACCTATTAAGGGTCTGTGTTACACAGCAGGTTTTATTGCTTCCTCAGGAAGCATTTTGACAAAGAACTTCAAACGAATAATTTTTGATATGTTACACAGGCACAAAAATCTTTGTTAAGTTTGCAAATTCGTAACCCTGATGTGTAACCATTGATGTACCATTGACAACCCATTGACTATACCACTGTAATGGCAAAACATCATATTATATTTTATTCATTATTCACAATTTGTGTTTATTTCACTATTGTAAATTCAAGATGCACGCATTATAACATGTATATACCAGTGAATGTACATATACCTTTATGTATCTATCAAACAATCCATGAATGAGAAGTATGTACTACTATGTTTGTCTAAAATGACAAGTAAAAAACAAACCCAGTGAACCTTTTAACGGAACAATCAGTGTAATAAGATTAACAGTAAATCAAGCAGTGGAACAGAATGACATGCGAATCTTACCTAACATTGAAGGTTGAAAATCAATGATGCTATTCATGCCTCAGTCACATTTACGCCAACTGATGGCTCGCACCTGTGCAATGTCTTAAAAAATCAGTCAAAAATCTCATGGAGTCAATACAGTTCCTTGTCTTGATTTAAACCAAAAATCTCATCAACCAGGTGCCTTTTCGGAATTAGTCGGAAATTAGTGCAAATGTGACTGAGGTTTGAAGCACTTGAGCGTTTTGCGAGGGATCGCCAAGCATACAAACTGTTTATGGAGGAAGAACAAGGTAGATGATGTAGATATTAGATAATATACCTTAGATTATGTCAATACATATTGTGACAGAACATTGACAGAAAACTTATATATGAACCATATATACTTCAGGTCAATTGTACATATTAACGTGGTATTCATACACTGACATTATTGTCTCCATTGATTAAACAACAAATTATTTTTTCAAAAATATTGTGACTTGGTGACATATAGAGAACTAAATTGACTTAATCTATATTATTCTAGAAACATAATGATGTGTGCTTTTTTAAGAATACATGGATTAGAAGAACAATCATAAAAGGTGACTTTTGGGTCACATTTTTAAACCTGATGAAAAATTATTAATTTCACTAACACAAAAATAATTGATCAACCTTCTAGTTTTCAGCCTTTTTGATTTAATGATAGGTAACTTTTTTTCTAAAAATGCATTAGGCAATGCAAAGTCAATTTTTACCTAGCTTAATAAAAGGTGATGTAATGATGCATTTTATTCTTGCATTTCAACTTTTACCTCAATTTTGCCAAGAATCTAGATAACATTTCTGTATTTTACTTTCTTGTAAGTAATACCTCCTTTGTGAATTCTTGTTTCCATTTTAAGGACTTTACCTCAGTTTACCAGCCATTAGAAGGATCAATCGAAGATACCAAGCAACTTTCTCAAAAAATCTAAATTTTGGAGTCTTTTGGGTTCATGCCATGCCATCTTTACAGTTCACAACTTATTCACGGAAAAATATCTTTCTACCATTTGTGTGTTTATTTATGGTTCATGGCTCACATTTATTGCCCCTAACAAAACCTTCCCCAGGCACTACTATTTCTGTAAGATAAATCCTAAATAAAATCATATATTATGATTGTATTCTAAACACCTTGGCTCATAAGTTGTAAATATTAGTTACATTTTTGTCATCCCCTATATCTTACATTTTTGTGTTTCTAGCTTTAACTTGACTATGAGACTGGGTAAAAATAAAAAACACAAGAATGATGGCATTAAAAATTAATCTAATGTCGGTGCCTGATCCCAAAAGCTCCTTGGTCAGACCTTTTCTCCTCTTTCTAAAGAATTTAGGAATGTTGTTTCACTTTGAGATGCTTTAATTTTCCTAAAAAATCCTGCCAAACAAAAGATTGATCGGTTTCACAAGAACAAAGTCAGGGTGCACTGACTTTTTAACACATTTCAGGAATAGGCCTTGTCTCATAAATTTCAATCAAAATCTATTCCTTTTATGAAACCTCTAGACTGGTAAGTGTTCATGAAGATGTCATCATTAAGAAATAGCATGTTAATCATTATTTTAGGAAAACTTTTAGATCATCAAAAACATCCATTTCAACAACAAGTGTGGGTGGAATGTCAAGTATGTTTAGAATATAGTACAAAACTTTTGAGACATCCCCTGGGGTTTAAGTTTGTAAAAACATGGACTCAAGAGGAGAAGGTTCATGAATGTTAATTATAATTTAATAGACATATTATACCTGAATTTGTCTCAATCTAGTAACACTTCAAGACAAGGTTTTGACATTAGTTTTGGCAGGCAAAGGTTGAATGTATAAATGGCATAGACCAACAAGAGGAGTTCTGGAGATTTAGCACTTCTAACTTGAGGTTACCAAAGCTCACTTGTTGAACAAATCGGCCTACGAAATTATTGAACAAACTCTTAACTCATTATTTTGAAGATTTGGAATTTAAAGATATTATCAGTTATTACAATAGGCTGTTAAAGGGAACCAACTGGTTAGATTTGATACTTTCCATACTATAACTATAAACACTGTTGTTTACCCAACTAGCCACCCCTGAGGTTTCAACACCAAAATTGCTAAATTAATACTTAATATCCAGCTAAATACTAATAACCATAAGAGTAAGAGTATGGCTTATGGTACCAGGCCCGTACCCAGGATTTACCAAGGGGGGGTTCAGTTTTCAAAAATTTCCAGGGGGGCTCACATTTGACAGTTTTGGCCCAAATATGGCTAAAATCACTTGAGAAGTGCTCCAAACGGTGGAAAAGTGCATGATTTTGAAAGAATTTTTGGCCAGGGGGGGGGGTTCTCCCCAACCCTGCGAACCCCCCCCCCCCCTGGATACGGACCTGGGTACACAAGTATTTTAATAATAAATATGAATTACATGCCCTAAAGTTAAAAATATCAAGGAATACCCCAACTGTCCCCTTTAAATGACAGTCCCTATTTAAGGTCAAATTTTGGTTCTCAAAGTACGAAAACAGCTCCTAAAATGTAGGATGTAGGGGGTTTCAAGTATGTCTACTTTCATAGTTAAAACCTACCTCAATTCAAGAGAACTCATTTATACTGTGAAGAAAAGGTTATCTAAACTGCTCAAAGGAGGGTTTAAAAACATCAACACATGCAAAGTCATGTCATGTTAAACTTTATGGTATAATAGCTTATCACAATTTTGTTATTTGCTCATGTATTTTCAATTTGATCTATTTGGTAGAACACGAAACACTAAAACTTAATCGAACACGAAGCACTAAAAATTAAAGCTACATGTCTATGAATGAACTTCCTCATCATGTAACTTGTTATGAAAACACATATTAACAGTGGTAGGGTATTGATACATGGAGGGTAAGAGTAAAATCAAAAGAGCAAAAAACAAACAATTTTCAAATGGGCCTTGTATATGCAAGAAAAATGTAAAAAAATCTTTACTCATTTGAAGATGGTATAACCAATTGACCAGAATTTATAATGGAAACATTATCAATTCAATTCATTATTTTCATTATCTGACACAGACATTCTACAATCACCTAGCAATGAACTTTAATGTTAAAGTACAATGTAAATGTACATGGTGATTGTTTTTGATGTCTGAGAGATCTCTTATGTACGAGTGAGCTACTTATCTTCATTTCAGTTACTCATTATGTGGTTTTAGTATGTCATGTATTTATCTCTTAATAACAAACTCTTTAGTCTAATATATCACTTAGTTCAGTCACGAGAAAATGTGACTTATCTTGCATTTACTTATTCATCATTTTTATGTCACCTCCACAAGTGGTGACATATTGTAATGGTCTCCCAACTTTTTTGTGGACCATGTTCCACGTTTGGCAGTTGGTGTTCAGTGGTCGGTGTTAAGTGTCTAACAATTGGCAGGTGGTGACATTTTGCATGTTAATGCCTTGTTTAGTTTTAAATTCTATTTCATCTTAATTTCATAAACCTCTTATAGATGTGCTTCCTCACATGAAAATAAATAAAATAATTGACCTAATTTGGTTTTAATTTTTATTTTTAGTTTAAATTCAAGCCAGTTCTTATATAGACCTCTAAGCTTATATGGAAATACATGTAGAAAAATTTGACCAACTTGGTCTGAATTTTGAACATTGCATGTACTTGAGAGAAAAATGTCATACGGAGAACTCCGTGGAGAGTACAACTATACACTGTAGCGCTATCAATGTACATTTATATAAGTGTGAATGAGCACTTTTTGCATAGGGTTGTCATGTTTGCACTATTCATATATTTTCAATGTTTTGTATTATAAGATAAAATATTGTATAATTATGTTTTTGTAAATAAATACTTTAAAAGTGTATATACATTTTCTATATTTTATATCCAGGGGCAGATCTGGAAATTGATTAGGGGGGGGGCTTGAATTATTCTTTTAAAAAAAATTAATTTGACCCCTTTTTCTGCAAAAATAGTGTTTAAAATTAGATATACTATTAAATATGAGGCTCAAAAATTAACATCAAGCTATATATCCAAGACAAGATAACAATTCTGAATTCCATCTCAAATATTCATTTTCACACAAAAAAGTAACAAAAACAATATAGCCCCCGAAGGCTGTAGGGTGTTATAAAAACACTGCCCCCACAGTCTTCCTACTCAGTGAACTGGTCACAATGTACACCCATTGTGGGTGCAATAAAAATATTGCCAAATATAGAATAAAAAAATAACCCCAACCTAACAGGTTAACGCAAAGCTGACACTATCTACACCACTTGAGTTGCCAAAACATTTCAACTCCCACACCATTTACCAAGATATCAGAGGCAAAAAATACAAAATATCTTCAAAACAATCCAATCAAGAAAAAAATTTCAAAACAATACAGTTAGGGCTTTACTTGAAAATTAGCATTATTTTGCCCCATCTTGTTCAATTGCCCAATTTAAGTTGACCTAATTTTGGAAATGAGGACAATTTTTGAGAATTTTTGGTCAAACTTTCCCCTATGCATCTCAATTACATCTAATTTAATTAATTCTCATTGTCTCCTAATAAATTTGATTCTTTTCAATCAAAACTTGATTTTTGAAATAAGAAATTTCCTACCTTCAGTGTTGCTTGTGTATATCTGATGAAGAATGGCCATGATGAGATCCAGATCGACTTTTTCATCATCAAAACAATGGTGGTAGATTTTTAACAGATCTCTGTCTTCCTGGCTGATCGTCTCGGCTGATTTGATAAGCATTGTTTCATCATCTTTGGACTGTTCAGTGGCTGCCCTATATGCAACAACATCATAGCATACATTTACATCAGATTCAGTAACAATATCTTTTTACTACTATTCAACACAATTCATATCATAATTTTTAATCGAAGAACTTTTTACTATTCGAAAAAATTGGACGAAGCAGAGTCACAGTCCCGCTGTGAGGCTGAAATGACCCATTCCACAGCCATAGCTAGCTTTAGCCAAGAGGGAGGCAATTTCTTAAACATTTCAGGGGAGTTGAAATTTTACAATTTTGGCCTAAAATCAATTTTTGACTCGAAACCCCTGACCCCCCCTCCCTAGCTACGGGTCTTCATTCTTCTCCATATATGAACTTACATGTGAGCCTCCAAGAGGTCAACCACCTCTGTGTGCTCAAACCTCTTGGCCCAATCAACAGCCATCCAATCATTACTGGCACGAATAGAGCTGTTAGCCCCAAGATTTAGGAGTTGCTCAACAATACTAAAGAAGCCTCTACCAGCTGCAATCATTAAAGGAGTGGCACTGGTTTCTGCATGGATGTAGTCAACTGAAATGTACCAATATTAAGTATTATAAAGTGAAGTTGCTCAACAATACTGAAAAATAGATGTCATTTTTTTTTTTTTTATTATTAAATTTATTTCAATAGAATACAAAAAATGTAAATACAGACATGTAAATTCTTAAATCGCCACAATGGCATTATATAAGAATAGGGGGCAGGTGGAAGTAGAAGTGGCAGAGCAGGCAGGGTCTTGGACTAGGGCAGGTGTGACGGGACTTGAGGATACTAGAGATGGATAAGAAGGAGGGAATTAGCTATTGTCTTTGATAAAATTAACAATGAGAAGTAGTATTTGAGAATTTGCATCTATATTTAATTTGGGAATTCCTGTTTTCAAAATAGCTATGAAATCAGTTTGAGAGAGATTATGACTGAAGATGTTTGGTTCGAGATCAGTGAGTTTGTCCATGAATTGCTGTCTTTGTATAGTAAGTAAGTCACATTGAAAGAGAAAATGTTTCAGAGTTTGTGGTTTTCCACAAGTGCAATTAGGGCTGTCAATAGACTGAAAGTTGTGAGCGTAGAACTGGGCTTTGAAGTATAGGTCAGCTCTCACTTTATTGAGAACTATTTCTTGAACCCTTGTTAGATTAAGCTGGCTTGTTGACAAAATCGAGGGCGTTTTTTGGAAATGTACTCTTTGGTGTTTTTTAAAATTCGAAAGAGTATTCTTAGATTTAATAGCAGGTGGAAGATTGATCCAATTTGAAATTGCAGCTGGTATTGCTGAGGTGGAGAATCTATTTGAGCATCTAATGGGCATTTTAAATGCTTCATTATATCTCAATACTCTGTTTGCATGGTTTCTAAATTTGTCAAAAATATCAGTTACATAGGGAGGACTTGTACCATTTACAATTTTGAACATAAAGTTGTTAATCTGGATACTGCGTCTTGATTCAAGAGTTGGCCAATTGAGTAGGTTTAAAACCTTTTTTGAACTGCTCCCTTGGATACACCCAGAACAATAAAGTGCAGCTTTATAATAAAGACTGTCGAGTCGTTGTAATAGGAACTTTGAGGCTGTGCTGTACATGATAGCACCATAGTCAAAATGGGGTAAAATAAAGGACTTAAATATGGTTTCTAGATGCTTACTACCTAACTTATATTTAAGTTTCTTTAAAGGGTTCAACATTTTTCGTATTTTTGATGTGATTTCTCCAATATGCTTGTCATATGATAAGCTTGGGTCAAAAGTAAATCCCAGATGTTTGTGCTCGTGATCTCTGGTAATTTCAACATTGTTTAACTTTGAAACAGAAACATTATCGACTTTAGATCTGGATGAGTGGAATATCATTTCAGAACTCTTTTCAGGTTTAAACTCCAATTTCCAGGTGTCAGACCATTTTTCAATTTTAATTAGGTTAGATCTGGCTATTGCATCTACTTCTTGTGGATGCTTAGGGTCAAAAGGATGATGTAGAGAAGTGTCATCCGCATAAATATAGCAATGCCCCTCCAGATTGTCTGGAAGGTCATTAATGTATAGGAGAAATAATATTGGCCCAAGTATTGAGCCCTGGGGGACACCACAATTGATAAAGTCATTTTCAGAATAATTTGAAAGTTCCCCAGATATCTGTACAGCAATTTTTCTGTTAGTAAGGTAAGATTTGATAATTTTTTGAATTTGCCCTTGGAAGCCATATGCTGAAAGTTTATGAAGTAGTAGCTTATGTGGTACTCTGTCAAATGCAGCCGCTATATCTAGAAAAATTGTTTTGGAAGCTTTTCCTTGTTCAAATGTGCTCTGAAGAAAATGTTCAATCGATAAAAGTTGATGAATAGTACTATGACCTGGTAAGAATCCGGACTGATGTTTGAAAAGAAGATTATTGTCAATTAAATGCTTCCTGATTCGATCAGCTAAAACTTTTTCAAATACTTTAGAGATACAGCTTAAAAGAGTGATAGGTCTATAATTGTTGATGTTTGATTTGTCATTCTTCTTAAAAATTGGGCAAACATTTCCAATTTTCCAGATATCCGGGTAGGTACACTTTGATAAAAGTTTGTTGAATAAGTTGGCTAAAGGTTTTGAAATGGTATGGGCTGTCAAATTCAACATTTTGTTTGTGATGTTATCTGGGCCACATGCCTTTGAGGTGTCTAAGGACAAAATTATTTTCATTACCTCAAATTGATCGGTCTGGGCGGAAATGAGTAGAGAATTAGTCCTAATTGGGAAATGGGGCAATTGATCAAAAGTTGCATCAGTATGATTTTTTGAGGCAAAGAAACTCATAAATCGGTTAGCTATATCAAGGTTGTTAGATAAGTCGTGTCCAGAGACATCATCATAGATACTAGAAATATCATTTTTATGTAAATTGTTACCAAGGAATGATTTAATTAACCTCCAATAGTTTTATCAGATTTATTGAGTTGGTCAATTGATGAGATAGTTTTGAGTTCATGTGCCTCTTTGGCTTGTTCAATTAGTTGGGAAACTTTAGAAGCTTGTTGATTATAATTGAATTTGTTAACTTGATTAGGAGCTTTTGAAAATTTCTAGATGTCATGTAACGATGTATCGACCAATCAGGATTAGTTCTACACACTGGGTATAGAACAAAGTGAAAAACAGCAGTTGCTTAAAGTTACTGAATCCAGAAGCTTTAGAGTGGCTTAACCATAAAATACATGTAGCTAAATAAATAAATCGGTTGAAACCTATTACTTCAAAATCAGAGCTGACATTGAGCCATCTAAATATGCCCAACAAGAAAATTTTCAGCAATTTAACGCTACATTTTGCTTTCAATAGCATTTTAAATTTGATATTATTTCTTACCATTGACATTCTCACTCATAATGAGGTGAAATATCTGGGTAAACAATTCCTCATCTCCAGTAAGCCATGTATCTGACAGTAACTGGTCCATCTCCTTAACCAACCAAGGCTCAAGCTCTTCTTTATCCAGTGACATCTATAAATGGCAGTACAAAATAAAACACTTTGCTTTTTATGATTTAATCAAACACTTTTGTTCTCTAACTAAATAACATGCACTATTTTCAAAGGTTGAAAATTAAACATTCTACATTTTGTGTATATGTTTTATGCAACCAAATATTATATGAGGGTTGAAAATAAGAAAAAACAATAAAGTTCATCACTGAGTAATTAATAATAGCATATTCCACTGAATGCAAAAAAACATAAATATTTTGCTGTTTTTCTATTTTTAATTTTCTTACATCAAGTGATCGTTCACTGCCACTGTCGTTTATGTCCAGTTCTTCTAGGACTATACCATCATCCTCTTCATGTTTATTGGAGTGGGTTGGCACAGCCTTGTTACACCAGTCATTCAGCTCTTGTTGCTGCTTCTCAACTATTAAGATAAAACAAACAAAAAGCGATGTTCAGTTATAGTTACTATCTTACATATTTTTTAATAAATTTGGTGAATCCTTTTCCTGATACCTTTCAAATCAATCCTGACATATTTTGCAGAACCAAAGAAACCAGTTTAATAGACTAGATGCGAATAGAAATAATCTTGATTTACGTCATTAAATATTCAAAATTCAGTCAAAGTGATATCATATTTGAAATCTTCATGTAGAAGTACATCTAGAAAAATGGTTTCGAAAATTGTTTATCAACTTTGAAAATTTAATTTTTTTTGAAAATTTGACTTCTAGTTCGGGTTGATTCCTCATAGACCCCATGTTACAAAATCACAAAAAGTGAAATATCTTTTCTTGTATTGGACAGATAACATTTTCTTTTACTGGACATATTTTAATTTGCATAACTATTAGATACATAAGGGTTATATGAAAATTGAACCACTAAAACAGATGTAATTTAAGTTAAAGGGAACTTTCTACTATACCCGCCATGTTATCTGACCCGAACGAGCCACCTGGTGGCGAAACTGGTAACTACCTACTCGCATCTGCATTATTATGTCATATATTGCAACAGCAATGTTTGTTTATGTGTTTTATTTTTTGAAATTTAGCAATAAACAAATCCCATTTTCACAGTGAAAATATTTGAAATGGCATCATATGAATGACTACATATGGGTGACATAATTTTATAGATAAGTCTCTGGGATGATAATATATATTGAAAAGGATTCAAAATGGCTGACTAAATGAAACAAATGAATGAACAAAATTACACATACTGAAATGACATCTATATGGAATTGTAACCAGGAAGTGAAATTGCTTAATGTAAACTGTTCAAAGGTCTTCAAACATTTGAAATATGATTAAGCATACTCAAGATAAGGTGACCTTTAAATACTTATAAGGACAAATGCATCACATGAAATTACTAAGTAAATGAGTGTTTTCCAATCATTGTCCTTTTAAAGTACAGCACTAACTAACTTAACTGAAGAACTACAAAGATGTCTTCCTTTTCTCATAATAAATCTACTGAATCAAATTATGCTTTTGATCGGCATATCACAATAGTGCAACTAACTGAATTTGTGGAGTTCACAGCTCATAAAGTTGACATACAGAATGTGTATACACCAAGTCAACTTAAAGAACAGACAACATTTGTTGAGAACCTGGTTAAAGATATATGTGTGAATGTTGGCAAGACAGAACCTACACTTGCTACTGATGGAGTGTTAAATAGAGGGAGCTACTATGATGGTACTAAAATAGTAAATGCTGATGAATATGACTATGAGCCTTTATTAACTCTGTCTAAAGCTGTCACTGAAGTTTCTGAATTTTCTGTGTTTCCAAATCAAGGATTTCGAACAGTCAGAATTGACACTAAAATGCTACCCAAACCCTTACCTGCCCAATGCCTGAAAGATATCAATGAAAATGGGGTAGCTGAACTATCTAGTAAGGAGCTGCTAAAATTTCTACATTGTACCATTCTAGAGGCATTAAAATATATGAACACTGTAGAATTAAAGAAAAGCGTAAGAAAACATATGGATCAAGGAGTTGTGGATCACTATATGCCTCATCCACATGACACACCATATCTTAAAGGGGAAGTTAGTGTACATTCTGCCCTGCATGGCCCCAGTGTTTGGCTTAGGGTAGGGGCACCCTTAGGTACAACTGACATTGATCTGTGTTTCTGCCTCAGGTCAAAAGCATGTGATAAACATGTTATGGTGAGTGCAAGGTATAGATCATATGAAAGTCACTGGTTGGAATCTATTATAGACCTCCCAGAGGTTCAAAAATACAAGCTGACTTTACCTCACAATAAACTACTTTTGACTTTGAAGTATATGACACACTTGGCCTGTACAGTACATGGTGGTTCACACGTGTCATCTCATATTCTGAGGACAGTTCTTCTACACCACCAAAGGAACTGTCAAGAGACTGATTTAGGAGAATGTTTGCTTTCAATAATCAAAAACTTCATGATAAAACCTGGGGAAAAATTTGATTATGATGCAAACATGGTGCATCTGATAGTCAATGCCATAGAAATTCATGATATCGTACACCACGAGACGACTCTAAGGACAAACAGTATGAAGAGAGTACCAATGCTGATTGTATTGCTATGGATTGTACAGCAAACAAGACACAATGAAGACTCCACATGGATACAAAGAATTGTTGACCCACAATTCCCTGGAAACATTTCTGATGATGACATGTTACATTCTCTTGTGACAAGTCTGGACTTCTGGGATAATTCATACTCTAAAAATCCACCAACACGTATATTTCAGTGGCATCATGGTAACACTGCAACACATGTGTCAATAACTGGAGATTGGTAAAAATGTTATTTACAATGGTAGCTGTATTATGTATAATAAATGTAAAATTTATAATGATATAGTAGGACAGTATAGAGAATAGCCCTGCATTTCCTCTGGTTATTTTTTTTATATCTTGGTTACCGCCATATTTGGCGAGCAATACCTCATTGGTATATTCCGTATTTTACGTATTTTACACTCGAAGACAGAGCCAGAAACCCCTCCTTGAAGGAGCCCTGTGTTCTTTTGTGTGCACAGGTACACAGACATACAGGTACACACCACAGCCTTTTATACGAGTCGTGAACCACTCAGTGAAACACCCAGAATTACATAACGCACAAACAAACTTGTCTGAACCGGCAAACGAACCCGGGGCCAAGCGATATTGGTAACCTCGACTCTGCCACTGAGGTTACCAACTAGGCACACTTAGCCGATTTCTAAACAGCACTTCTTGATGTTCTTATATTGAAATTTTTTATTTTCTACATTTATATGAAAACAAAATTCCGAAATTGCAAGTATATTTATAATTAAGGAATAAAGACCAAGATTCTATGATTTACATGAAATAAACAATAAAATCCCCTTGTATCAATAGTATATATCATCAGTTCTTGTAAGTTCTAATGTACTTTTAGCCAATCCATCTCTTGTTTACATCTTACAGAGTATATAAGGTTGAAAAAGCCAGGTATAACTTGCAAAACTATGCTTTTTTAAGTTTTGTAGCATTTACCAAGCACTTTAGTAACGCTTTCACAATCACAGTAACACTGGTCAAGGCAATAATGATCACAATTACAACTGATCCAGCTATATCAAGGAGATAATACTGGAAAAAGTTAAGTTGATTTTCCCCAGCTGATCTCAAGTGCTGTGCTCCTTTATGGCGAATAACATACTCAATCCAATATAATGTTTTATTTCTTGGATCAATGAGTTGATCATGGTACATTGTGGCAGCTTTCCTTGCATTTGTTCTGTACGTTTCATTGTTAATGACCTCTTCCATTGCATTTTGTAGCTGTTCACTTGTAATTGTGTTCAACTTGACAATCTTGGCTGACTTGACTCTCTTTGCAAGTTTCAGACAGTTGTACTCCTGGTCACCAATGAAAGGAACACCAACGACAGGGAGGCCATTATTCAATGCCTCAAATAATGACGATGCTCCACACTGTGTTACAAATAGTTTAACTGCAGGACTTGACAGCAGATCAGTTTGTGGAATCCATTTGTTGACAATCGTATTCTCACCTAGGCCTTCAGGCGTTTCACCTTCGTAACTCCATATCACTGTCTGGGGCATTCTGGAAAATGCTTTAGCAAATATGGTGCGATATTTCCGTCCTAATCTCCTAAAAAGCGATCCAAAGCTTACCACAATAATGCCATGTGTTTCTGACCCCTTTAAAATATCTTTGTAATAGGCATCTAAAGGTTTAGGCTTTTCCAAGAAAAACCCTTCTGTAGACACAATATGTGGCATATATGGTGCAGGATAGTGTATAACATCATTTCTGTTCATAAGCACAAGGTTAACAGTCTTGTGAATTTCCCTTATATTGTCACAAGACTTTCCATAGCCATAGCTTCTACAAAGCACTTTAGCTGCAGAGTAAGCATCAGACAATACCAATTTCACTCTCAAATATTCCCAAACATTTTCCAGTCTTTGAAAAAATGACATGACATCACTGAATCTATTGAAACATCCATTAACGAATGCTAAGCTGTACCTTGGAATAATGTCTGAGTCAAAAGTCAGAGTGCCAAAATTGCTGTACAAAATGATTGGAATGCTTCTATTTGCAGATATGATTCTTGGAAAAAACACAAGTTCATCAGTTATAATCAGGTCAAAATCTTCTTTAGCCAACTTAACGATAGTTTTGTCCTTTAGTGTGTTCTCCAATGTATTAAAGAACATGGCACCAACGATTACATAAAGCTGGGGCATATCTAGATTAAGCATTAGATCAGATAAGTCTTCGTTGTCAGTCCTCATTTCCACTGGTGGAGTTTTATAGCTGACCACGTTGAAGCTTAAGTCAGCGTTTTCCCCCTCAGCTAATTTAAACATTGCCTCTTCTCTCATTTTGTCAGAAATAACACATGTTACCTGGTGTTTTGCATTAGTGAGCATTCTTCCTAGTTTAAGCATGTTCATTACTCTGCTGTTATAGCCTACATCATTAGGGAATAACAGTATTTTACTCCCATCAACTGTTATTTGGAGACAAATAATCCCTAGACAGTAAAGTGCCAACACTTTGGATGATTCCATTTTGTGCTTTGGATGTTTTAAAACATATTCACATCAATGCCTACAAGGTAGTTATACACATGTAAAATTGTCAGTCCTAAACAATCTTGTGAATGATAAGGATAATTCAAATTTCAAACTAGAAAAACAGAATAACTATAGTTGGTGACCTATAATTTTTATTTTCTTACAACAATATATTATTAGTTTTTAATGAGCAAAAAATTCAAAATATTTTCTTGTTTTATGTTGAAAATAGAGTCCTGGTACATTCTTTTTACTTGATACAAAGTTGATGAAAATATAATTTTAATATCACTGTACAAGGAATTTATGTGACAAAATGTCACCACCTTGTGAATTTTGGAAATTTTGGTGGTGACATAATTTAGTTAAATTAAGGTGGTCTAACCTTGTTCATTTTTGTGGAGCCATTCAGTAGAATTACGATTTCTCTGCACCATGATGTCACATCAAGATTATTTGAGTACCTGTGTGTTTTGGCATTCAGAAATGACATCTACCGAAAGTTTACACGCTATATCGATGTAGTTTATGACTGAAATCAGGAATTGCTTATAATAACTATTGACAAAAATGTTCTAGAGACACAAACTATTTGGTCAAGGGTTTGTTTTGTAGTCAGAAAGCCCCTATGAGACAATTCCAACCCAAAGAAAACCCAGAAAACTGCAGATTTCATGATGCAATGTTTTACGTTCATGAATACAAGTTAATCTGAAAACATAGGATCAAATCCTATGCTAAGGGCTGATGTGAAAAAGTCACTCCACCCTGGTGGGAATCTAATCCACAATGTAGAATCTTTTCAATATGGCAATTGCTTCTGTGTTCTGTATACACCTTTACCTGCTTTATAAGCAATGTATCTTTAAATAAAACCTCAACCAAGTAGATTAGAGTCTCTGAAACACTTTTGTAAATAGTTTTCACAAGCAATTTTGTTTGTGCATCTCAGATTTTGTCTTCCCGATTTCTGTCATAATTTGGTTAGACATTGTCATTCCCGGATACTCAAATGTCTCAGGAACACACAGGTACTCAAATGATCTTGATTGGACATCATGGTACAGAGATATCATAATTTTACTGAGTGGCTCCTCAAAAAATAAACAAGGTTGTAGGCCCTGTTAATGCACCTTTTAATATAATTATTAATTCCAAGATGCCAAATGTATAACTACCTTAATTTCAAATTATACAACCAAATGAGTTGTATCCTCTTAATAAAATGAAAGATAAAAAAGTTTAAAACTGAATGTTGTCTTACACAATTGAAATCATGATGACATCATAAATTGGCACGTTTTTTTACTTTTTACAATGAAAGTCAGTATTAACGGTGCATAAATTTTGTCTTTTCTTAAGTTAAAAAACAGTTAACAAGGAGAAAGGGAGTTAATTTCACAACATTGAGGCACAAGACGTGATTACAATCACATCACCAAATACTGTGAATATAAAATACAAACAAACCTACTGTAAAAGCATCTACAGTACCATTAAATTGCCATATTGAAAAGGTTCTACATTATAGTTTGAACATATTAGTACATGTCAAATACGCCAGTGTTTTATATGCGGGGATCAGATATACAGTACTTAACTTGTATTCATGAATGTAAAACATTGCATCATTAAACCTGCAGTTTTCTGGCTTTCTTCTGGGTTGGAATTGTCTCCTAAGGCAAGCTATCTTCCAATAAAACCTCAACCAAGTAAATTTGAGTCTCTGGAACACTTTTGTGAATAGTTTTCACAAGCAATTTTGTTTGTGCCTCTCAAATTTTGTCTTCCCGATTTCTGTCATACAATGGGTAGATCTTGTCATTCCTGGATACCCAAACGCCTCAGGAACACACACGTACTCAAATAATCTTGATTGGACATCATGGTACAGAGAAATCGTAATTTTACTGAGTGGCTCCTCAAAAATACACAAGGTTGTAGGCCCATTTCACATTTCACTGTTACTACTTCAGTGTCTCAACTCTAACTTCTAAGTCAATCTAATGACCTTTGGTCATTCATAAAACAAGTTTCACTCAACATATATGAATAAATATTGGTATCTTATTTCCCTGATTTAAAAATGATTTAAAAATTGGAATATTGCCAGGCCTGTGACATTTGATATTCGGTTGCACTATTTTAATTTACATAACTAAGTTTCTAATAAAAGAAAGATATATAAATATTTTGTCAAAATTGCAATCTGGGTTTTACAAAATCATAATATAATTTATACTTAATGAAAGAAAAACATGAACACATTAATCAGTTAAGGTTATTGATGTTGTCAATTATTTAGTACCTTTAAACAACAGGGTGTACCTTATTGATTAAACCTTGATTGCCACATAAACTGATCAAGCTTTGTACTTTACTTTAAATGGGCAGAGGGTCAGAGGTGAATATTCACCAATATACACCTTCTTCTAAGGTCTATATTTTGATCAACATGATTCAATGGTGAAAATGAATGAATAAGATTATACTAGACTTGAATCAACTCTGAAAGTTTCCAGAAATGTTAGGGAATACTCAGAAATCATGTTACATCTCATATGCAATTCTAACTTTGATTTTAGTATCAAACGAATATATCATCAGTTCTTGTAAGTTCTAATGTACTAACAGCCCACAACTCTCTTATTCACACCTTACATATAATAGTATATGAGGTTGAAAAGGCTTGGTACAACTTGCAAAACTATGCTTTTTTAAGTTTTGTAGCTTTTACCAAGCACTTTAGTAACGCTTTCACAATCACAGTAACACTGGTCAAAGCAATAATGAAAACAACTACAACTGATCCAGCTATATCAAGGAGATAATACTGGAAAAAGTTAAGTTGATTTTCTCCAGCTGATCTCAAGTGCTGTGCTCCTTTATGGCGAATAACATACTCAATCCAATACAATTTTTTATTTCTTGGATCAATGAGGTGATCATGGTACATTGTGGCAGCTTTCCTTGCATTTGTTCTGTACGTTTTATTGTTAATGACCTCTTCCATTGCATTTTGTAGCTGTTCACTTGTAATTGTGTTTAACGTGACAATCTTGGCTGACTTGACTCTCTCTACAAGTTTCAGACAGTTATGCTCCTGGTCGCCAAGAAAAGGAACACCAACAACGGGGAGACCATTTCTCAATGCCTCAAATAATGAGGATGATCCACATTGTGTTACAAATAGTTTAACTGCAGAGCTTGCCAGCAGATCAGTTTGTGGAATCCATTTGTTAACAACCGTATTCTCACCTAGGCCTTCAGGCGTTTCACCTTCGTAACTCCAGATCACTGTTTGGGGCATTCTGGAAAATGCCTTAGCAAATATGGTGCGATATTTCCGTCCTAATCTCCTAAAAAGCGATCCAAAGCTTACCACAATAATGCCATGTGTTTCTGACCCCTTTAAAATATCTTTGTAATAGGCATCTAAAGGTTTAGGCTTTTCCAAGAAAAACCCTTCTGTAGACACAATATGTGGCATATATGGTGCAGGATAGTGTATAACATCATTTCTGTTCATGAGCACAAGGTTAACAGTCTTGTGAATTTCCCTTATATTGTCACAAGACTTCCCATAGCCATGGCTCCTACAAAGCACTTCAGCTGCAGTGTAGACACCTGACCATGTCCATTTCATTCTAAAGTATTCCCAAACATTCTCAAGTCTTTGTAGAAATGACATGGCATCACTGAATCTATTAAAACATCCATTAACGAATGCTAAGCTGTACCTCGGAATAATGTCTGGGTCAAAAGTAAGAGGGCCAGAATTGCTGTACAAAATGATTGGAATGCTTCTATATGCAGATATGATTCTTGGAAAAAACACAAACTCATCAGCTATGATCAGGTCAAACTCTTCTCTAGCTAAGTTAGCAATGGTTTTGTCATTTAGTGTGTTCTCTAATGCATTAAAGAACATGGCACCAATGAATTTATAAAGCTGGGACATGTCTAGATTGATCAGTGGATCAGTAAAGTCTTTATTATCAGTCCTCATTTCCACTGGTGGAGTTTTATAGCTGACCACGTTGAAGCTTAAGTCAGCGTTTTCCCCCTCAGCTAATTTAAACATTGCCTCTTCTCTCATTTTGTCAGAAATGACACATGTTACCTGATGTTTTGCATTAGTGAGCATTCTTCCTAGTTTAAGCATGTTCATTACTCTGCTGTTATAGCCTACATCATTAGGGAATAACAGTATTTTACTCCCATCAACTGTTATTTGGAGACAAATAATCCCAATACAGCAAAGTGCTAACACTTTGGGTAACTCCATTTTGTGGTTTGGATGTTTTTAACATGTAAACATAAGTGACTTAAGGTATTTATACACATGTAAAATATGGCCAGTTCTAAACAAATTTACAACTTTTGGATGATGTGTATGATGGCACTTGTGTGACAATAAATTTTCAAAATTTAACACAGAATACAGAATTTTAATATAATATAAGCTAGCTTTTAATAACAATTACCCTAAAAAACAGCCAAACTTGGTGACATTTGACTTTATTATTTTCTCATCAAGGTCAGCAAATCTGGAATTCTATATCTTATCATATTCGACAAGCAGCCCCACTCTCAATTTTTAAGTCTTTGTTCAAACAAAATAAAATAAATGACATACCTTTGTAGTTTTAAAGATTTGAAAATGTCTTACTCTGCCACATTTTGTCTTATCAACTTATATATATACATATTATAAACTTAGCAGCAATTACCCGTTCTCGTGTCCTGTGTCTCTGTCCCCGAGTGTTAATATTTTTTACATTTTTGAAATGATCTCCAACAGACTTGGGCCAGTGTCATTCTCAGGTATTTCTCCACTCCATTTTTATTTGTCTTACCTGTTGGCGTCACTGACCCATTTCTGTCCAGTTAAAACCAACATGTATGCTCTTGAGAGCGTCATGTTGTATTGAATGTCATATATGATTTTCAAAATAGTAATAAATATCTGAATCTGAATCATTATTTCATATAATTATTGAAATATCCAATGTGCAAAATATTAATAATTCTGTTATGATAATATATGTTCATGACACCATTTTTTTACTTGATATATACACGCCTAACCATCGCGTAAGCAGGCGTCACCGTACAGCGTCAAAAAATACAGTAGTACAGTTTTCTGTACGGTGACGAAAATTAACTGAGTTGAAGCAAAAACTATAATGAGGGTTTTAAAATGATTAATTAGATGAAAATTAATACGATTTCGGGTGTAATGAAAACAGCATTCTCTTAGGAATGGTTTTAACTTTCTAATTATGATAAAAGTTTTTCGAGCACTGCTCGGATTTTTTCTGACTGGATCGGCCCACATAATCGACTCGAGAGAAAAATGGTGTTTTTTTCACTTTTCGTTTGGTTATTATTTTCCCTGTCGTCTGAGAGTATGGATTATTTTTATGAGAATATGTATTTGTTATCTACACATTTTAGAACAGATGAATATTCGGCAAATAATCATTCAGTGTATTTATTTAAAAACGATCAGAACTGTACGGTGACGCATCAGCTGTACGGTGACGCTTCCTTAGATTTTATGAAGTGCTCTAAGCTTACTGTTCGAACAAGAGGTAAAGAAGCGTCAGATCTACATATATGTACCTTATCACTGGTAAGTATCAAGCGAAGGTTACAGCCGTCACCTTCGCATTTAAGATGGCGGACAGGAAGTATTAATTTCGATATTTTTAGTTTTCATGGAATTAACTATTTGAAAGTTGACGTAATGCTTTGGTATCATTTGAACTAAACCAGGCTTTTCTCATATGACTAACAAAGATAGCCTACACAGCCATCTTTACCCCATGCAAGATATTGCATCTTTCATCCTAAAAAGTCACACGTGCAAGATGAGATTTACTTGTGACATCCCTTGTTTTAAAACATCAATAACATAGCAACAAGAGAGTTTTTGGTTTCATGATCTTTACCGTATCATACATTTCCAGTAACCTTCCATTAAGCTGTGGAATATATTGTTGAACTGTAGCGCCCATGCACTATATATGAACAAATGATCATACTCAAGAGTTTCCATTTCATACAATCTTAGTCTCATTTAGTTCATCAAAGCATTGCGTCACCGTACAGCTGGTGCGTCACCGTACAAATTTGATCTTTTTTAAATATACATAATGAATGGTTGTTTGCTGAACCTTCGCCCGTTCTAAAATGTGTAAGTAACAAATACATATTCTCATAAAAATAATCCATACTCTCAGACGGTAGGGAAAATAATAACCAAACAAAATGCGAAAAAACAACCTTTTTTCACTCTGGTCGATTATGTGGGCCGATTCACTCAGAAAAAATCCGAACAGTGCTCGTAAAACGTTTATCATAATCAGAAATTTAAAACCATTTCTAAGAGAATGCTGTTTTTATTTCACATGAAATCGTATTAGTTTTCATCAAATTAATTTTTTTAAACTCTTGTCATAGTTTTTGCTTCAAAGCAGTTAATTTGCGTTACCGTACAGAAAACTGTACTCTGCTATTTTTTGACGCTGTACGGTGACGCCTGCTTACGCGATGGTAAGGCGTGATATAGTTGATGTAAAGAACATCTTAATTTGAAGTTAGTTAATAATTCATCTTGAATGTGATTATTAATTCCAAGCTGACAAATGTATAACTACCTTAATTCCGTTTATAAGGCCAAGGTTGTCTGAATAAGTCACATCGACTTAACAGAATAGAAAAATGTGTGTTTAAACACTAAATGTGCACGTGGTCTTCAAACAATTGCCATCATGACGACCCCATAAATTCTTGTTATATTTGATAAAAGTCATGTTGAACGGTGTATAAATTTTGTCTTATCTAATGCTCAAACCTTACAGAGAGAAAGGGAGTTTAACTTCACAAATGACTGAGGTAAAAAACATGACCAAATACAGACTTGTCAATCTACCAGTTTTTCAAACATTTTATTAGGAGGCCCCAGATGGATAGGTCTGATAGATATTATTATCATTTCTTTAATCTGCCCTGCACTTTTTCTCCAGTAGCTTTCAACTATCTACGATATGCTCCTACTAGGGACTTGAGGTGAACTTGGTGGGAAAGTAATTTTTATCTTAGTCAAGGTCAAAATCTAAGTCAAATCAAAGTTTCTCAAAGCCTGACACTGCAATTCAATTTTTTGCCTGAATTTTTGCTGAGAGATAGAAATTAGTATTCTATTAGTGTCAGCATTTTTCCTTCTAGACAAATTTTGTCAAGATTTTGAGATATTGAAGGTAAAAAAGGTATTTCTGAGAACTCCAAAGTTGACCTTAGATTTAAGTTTGACCTTTGATTGATCTTCAAAAAGTAGAAAAAGTTGATTTTTCAATTTTTTTTGAATTAAGGTATATTTAAGCAGGTCTGAAAAGTAAAATTTGCAAGGTCAAGGTCATCAAACTAGCTCACAAACATTGTTATCAAAGTTTTTCAATGTTTGATCAAGATTTTTGGTTGAACGTCAGAAAAAGTTACATTCCTATTTTACACACATTAGTAATCAATAGTAAATTAATTTTTTTCACAGAGTTTTGAAATATTGGAGCTCAAAATCTGGAAAAAGGTAAAGTTTCGAAAATTTTCAAGGTCAAATTTCATCTTACTTCAAATTGAATGAATCTCTTTAAGCATCATCTACAAGTTCCTTGGAGTTCATATGTGACTAGATATTTCAAGTTTCCATTTAAAAATTGGAATATTGCCAGACCTGTGACATTGAATATTTGGGTCATACAACTTTCCTTGATCCTCAATCTTTAACCTTAGGAAAACATATAAATACTTCCCTTAATGCAATTGAGTACAACCTGTTACAGAACTGACACAATCAGGAGCAGATACCAAACCACATATTATGGTACTCAACCAACAAAAGACAACTAATTACAAACTCTTCATATCAGGCAAACCCCATTTCCAAATCATAAGCCTGTAGCACAATACCATGAAACACAACATTGAACATTGACACATCATAAACATAAACAACTTTTCGAACATGAACAATCTGTATGAACACCAATTACAGAGCACAATAGGGCACAACCCAAAATCAAATTTACTCAACACAATCAGACACACCCTAATCTACCAAAGGAAATAGTCTTTTAAATACCCTACTGGGAAACTTAACAAAACTACTGAAAACAAAATGGCTACCTAAAAATTGATCAATGGTTTTCCAGGAATGGCAGTGATGAGTATCATAAAAAACAAAGTATATTATGTCAATAGAAGCACACCACAACGGAGCCACCCAAAAGTTAATAAACTGTAGAAATTCAAACATGAGTGGATTTCCTGGAAAGACAATGATAGGATTTATCAAAACCACCCCAAAGTTAATCAAAAAAAAAACATGAGTAAATTTGCTCACCTTGTCCAATTTCTTGTCTGTATTTCTCCATTTCTTTATTTGTATAGTTAGTCCTGGAATATCATAATACACTATTAAGCTGACATGAAATATCAAATATGTTTCTTTTTCAGTATTACATATGTTGATGATAATAATGATACTTTATAAACTGATTATAAATTGAGATTTAATTATGCAGAACTTTGAAGTGAGAAATAAAAAATAATTTCATAAGGATCTTACATTTTAAGGAGATCCTCCAAGAAATACTCTTCTACATGAAACACCTTTCCTGGCACTGGAAATAAAGAATAAAAAAAACATGTATTCAACCTTACATTTTTCAGAAATGGTGGCCATTTTGAAACGAGCAACAATATTGGGGACTTATTCTAAAGCAGAGGTCCTATGACCATAATGGCCTAGTCACATAGCCCGGCCGATGAGGTTCCGATGAGCCAGCGATGCAATTTTCCATCCATGGCGTTTGTTGCTTAAAACCGCATCGGTGGCAGCTCGGTGAAATTTTAACTTCGGAGTTAAATTTCACCGGGCTCTCACCGAGCTCCCTCATCGCAGCCCCATTGTAACCACATCAGAACACACGTCGGCCGGTGCACGGCCGAGTATCGGTCGGTGTCCCGTGCATCTGAGACAACCAGAGGACGAGGTTTTTTTAACGGACACCGGCCGAGCTCCGACCGAGCTCCGGCCGATGTGGGACAGAGCCTTGGAAAGTATAGTACCTGAAGATGTCCGGACGGAGTCCGTTCACATCACCGAGCTCTGCTTCCGATGAGGAGAGCTCGGTGGCACCAAAAAAATCCACCGAGCTCTACCGATGCCGGACATCGGCCGGGCTTTGTGACTAGGCCATAAGGCATCAGCCTATAAAATTTCAACCAAATCTATCATCCATACTAGTTATTGTCTTGACACTAAATGGCCAGAAAAAACAAATGGGATAGCAAACTCTTCTGAACTACATTCAGTGATTAATATAATTATTCATATAGCACAATTACCATCTGGTCTTTTGGTGAAGGTCTGACTTTTTTCAATTTGTGTTCGATGGATTTTCATGAACTGTTTTGTGCTTGGTGGATTTTCCAGAATTTTTCTCTTACAGATCTTTACAGAAACACTATTCCATAAAAACAATAATGACATTTATCACATGAGTGGACGACTCAAAAAAATATATTTAACATGTATTGTTGAAATAACCAACGGATAAATCCCATATCATAATTTTTCTTGATGTCATTTTTGTTCACTGATGAATGATTTGATAAAAAAAGACATCAAGAACGGTCTGCAAACTTACCATTTATCACTGGGCAGTTATCAAAGTAGGCAGAGAAGAGATCAATATTCAACGCTGCACTCATCAAGATCACCTTCAGATTGCGATACTTGCCCTGTGTAATGGCATGACGCAATAAGATCAACAGGAAGTCACTGAATCGATCACGTTCATGAATCTCATCCTAAAGAAAAAGACTGTCCGTTAATTTTTTAACCATTAAAATGCATATTAAACAGGGAATTCAAGTTCTGTACTGATAAAAATGTTCAATAAGTTATGAGAAAAAACTTTTTAGTTTAATTAGACAGAAGAGAAGGATCTTAAAAAGATTAATACGTTTTATTCTAATCATAAATTGCCCAAAAATATTTTTAATTTACAATGATCTGTATCTTGTACCATTGTAACCTTTATTTTCTGTAAACATAAAAATTTTCTCATATAGTAAGTATATAAACAATTGAGATATTCTCAGGAAATATGATAATAAATTCTACAGTCAATTGATGGTCATTTTACAGATCGTTATAATATAAATCAAAAAATATTTTGGGGTGATTGGAGACTAGAATGACAAAGTTCTTTTGGATGGTGGCCGTGGGGTAGTGGGAGGTTTTAGATACAAGGTTTATTCCGAGGGAAATGTCTCCCATGGGGCAGATGTAACACACACCTTCTAACCTTTTTATCATTTTTGAAATTTAGCTAAACACTGAGCAGTGAGCATTGGCTTGTATTATTGAAAACATACTACTGTAGTATACATGAAAACAAGTCTTTAATTGTACCTACCACAATAATATGAGTGACAGCTGAAAGAGGAGTAGCTCCGCCCATGAGTGTCCTCAAAAGCACTCCATTGGTGCAGAAGGTTAATAGAGTCTTGGGGGAGACCCTAAAATGTAATAAAAAGAAAATATAAGGAAACAAAATACAAGAAAATATCTATAAAACAAAGTTAATTCTATTATCAGGGCACTTTATATTTCACTTTCAAACCTTCTAAAATCTCATGATAAACAAGAGTTCAATGGAATTTCAAATGCAAAACTACACAGCATTAATATAAATCGTGCATTCTCTAGAGTTGCATATTGCATGACAGGATGTCTGCTTTCCCTGTGGAGTTATTCATATATAGATTACTTATAAGATATGATATACAGGGTGTCCATAAAGTCTCTTTACAATTCCAATACAAAGTCCATGTAATCTATTGACACCCTGTATATTCCTGGGTGTTACACATACATACCCCAAACCCATCTTAGTAGAAGAACTGATCATGATATCTAATACTGTAGAAGAAGAAATTATAGCGGGAACAAATTATAACGAAATGCTGCCAAAATCAAAAATCGCGAGAAGAAATTATAACGGTCCAAGAGCCCAATAATTTCATGTCAAACTAGGCCTAGAAAGCCCATTGTTCCAGCCGAGGTTTTAATGCTTGATTCCCGAAATTATTAATGGTTACCGCTGTGAGCGATAATAGAGTTACTAATTCACGCGAACTTACTGTGTTTAAATGAAAGCTCCTCACGGTTCATATACTTTCGAATACTCATTCTAATACTAGTTATGCTTCCTTGATTGTTTGATTACCCATACAGTCATCATATTTGGTTTCCCTGGTACGTAATCAGTATTGATTCAAAAGATAAACCGACCTATTTTGCCATGACGTTTTTAATTTACGAACGAATAAAATTAGTAACAACAAGTTCGCCTTTTGTTTTTCAATAAATGAATACATACATGCTCTCAGTAATTACCTGTTAATTATTGGCTTACTTATTGTACTTTCCAGGTAAGTTTTTAATTCTAATTAACGGATTATAACAATCAAGTAAACTGGTGACACAAGACTTTCTTTATAATCGCCTAATATAATGTTTAATGCCAGCGGGAAAACAAACAGCTTATCCCTGTATCTAAATATTTTCTTCAGGAATGGTACGTTGATAAGATGCTAAACTGTTGTTTATATTGTTTCTGATTTGTATAGTTTGAAACAATGTTTGTAGTTTTACGTTATGTGTTTTTGTGTTCGTTCTTTTTCTAGTAGCAAAAGTAATTAAAATACCGATCGTAAATCTAATGTAGCAATAAAACTTCGACGAGGCGGTCTAACATTCTGGCGTTTCATGATTTCAGTAAGTTTTATTTTTTTGAATAAACTTTCGCGGAATTAATCATAACGGTCGAAGCCTGACGCTATTTTTCGCTATAATATTTTCCTCGTTATATTTTCTTCTTCTACAGTACATATTTTAATACCTGCTCTCAAGACGTATCTGGTACCCAACTGTCTGACCTATTTTCTCTCCTCTCTCAGCAGCTACCCTCTCTGCAACAGAGAGTGCAGAGATACGACGTGGCTGTGTGCAGAAGATCCGGCATGGTTTGTTGGTTCTGGTGCATTCATCCATGATAATCTGTGGAACCTGAAGAATATACACTTTGGATAGAACCGTACTCCCATTTAACACACTGCACGGTGATTGCAATCTTAAACTCAAATTGATGAGAATGACATCAATAACTATACTGATTGTTATAACTATCTTTAAAACGCCTGGTTAAGCATTGACCAGCTTTTGACAGTAACATTTTCTCCAAATACTTGTATTTTGATGAATGCAATATGAAATCCAAAACACATATTTTGTTCAGAGAGATAGCCATCCTTCTGATGTCACTGAGATTGTATACTTGGAAATTCAAGATGGGTTGAGGATGGAATCAATTCATAAACTTTTATTCAAACATTTGTGTTATTCTAGTATTTGTTTTATAGAATTAGCAATTCCCCTTTACAAATTCCCCTTTCTAATGTTTAGGGCTCCAGATGGAACATGATGTTATTTGAGCTGTGTAACTCATATTTTGGTCACAATTGAATGTTATGAACTACATAAATGATTTCTACATTCATTTACCTGTGTAGTCTTCCCAGAGCCTGTTTCCCCCGATACTAGCACCACCTGGTTTTTGCTGACTGCATTAATGATCTCTGGGCCCATCTGACTGACAGGGAGAGTCTGTCTAAAGCTGAGTAGCTCTGAGTCCCCTCTATGAGGAGGAACTTGGGGAACACCATTGTTCAGTCGTCCAGTTGTGGTTTTGTTCATGTCACGGACAAGCACTGAAATAACATGTGCATATCAGATAAAGTTTTATTTTATGAGTTTCAAGTGATCACTCATTATTTCTAACTTTTTTTAATTATGGCCATTATGACCATTGTAACAGATATTGGCCAAAATGGTAATAAATATTAGCTTTATGAGTTTCAATTCAACTTAAGCCTAACTTCTCAAGTTATTGCTTTATTACAACCAGTTCTTCAAGAAATGAATTTTCATTGCTGATTACATATTGACTTTTATTTTAAAACAATCAATACGACTGGACACTCATGTCAAAACTAAAACTTCATCTCTCTCATATCCATCTTAATGTGACTGCCCTTCTCTTCTATAGCACAGTGAAACCTCTAAAAGTGGAACAACTCTAAAAGTGAAACACCTCTAAAAGTGGAACAATTCTAAAAGTGGATCACCTCTAGAAGTGGAACAACTCTAAAAGTGGAACAACTCTAAAAGTGAAACACCGCTAAAAGTGGGACACCTCTAAAAGTGGAGCACCTCTAGAAGTGGAACAACTCTAAAAGTGGAACACCTCTAGAAGTGGAACAACTCTAAAGTGGAACACCTCTAGAAGTGGAACAACTCTAAAGTGGAACAGCTCTAGAAGTGGAACAACTCTAAAGTGGAACACCTCTAGAAGTGGAACAATTCTAAAAGTGGAGCACCTCTAGAAGTGGAACAACTCTAAAAGTGGAACACCTCTAGAAGTGGAACAACTCTGAAAGTGGAACACTTCTAAAAGTGGAACAACTCTAAAAGTGAAACACCTCTAAAAGTGGAACAACTCTAAAAGTGAAATACCTCTAAAAGTGGAACAACTCTAAAAGTGAAACACCTCTAAAAGTGGAACAACTCTGTTGGTATAACAGTTTTTAAGACCTAAATGAAACTCTGGAACACTTCCCAAGTGCAACACCACTTTTTTAGAGGTATCAAAGGCATTTGGATTAGGTTTTACTACCTACTTTCGCTATAGTGTCCTTTATCCGTGCGAGGTTGCAGCTCTTGTCTCTCTTTGTTTGTTACAGGAAACCTCTGTAGGAGACTATTTATCTGCTGTCTGGAATTCTTCATGAGTGAGAATAGAGATGAGGCCTTTAATGTCTGATTGCCTTCTTTCTTACCCACTGTTAGATATCTGTTGTTTCCCTTCCTAAAAAAGACAATCAAATTTATCACATCAGTACCTGTTACACTGCTTTATTACAGAGCATTTTGACAATAAAGCTTCATAACAAAAGCTTTGTTTCAAAAGTAATTCTTTAACTTTGCTGTGGAACAGGTAGCGTTGTATAAAATATTTAATTTCCCTATTTCCTGACTTATCTTATTTATGTCAAAACAGAGACAAGATAACCAATGCACAAAACAACATGATCAACTTATTCAGTAACTGTGTGTCTATATCAGAATAGTAAAAAATAGCACCTTACCCCCTGCTTTTTGATTTCAGACCTAATGTTTGGCATAGTCTGTGTATGTAGGCTCTTTCTGTCGATGTGAGGGACGAAGGGAACTCTAGTTCTATAAGCAGAATCAATATGTGAATTATAAATGTTTAATTAAGGAATAAAGACCAAGATTTTATGATTTATGGCGTAATATATGACCAAAAATTCTATTCTGTTCATTGTTAAAAGACCGAAATCGCATAGCGATTGAGGAAATAGAGGTCTTTGTTATGATTCTAATATGATAAACAGACAAGAAACACAACTATTTGCATTTATGAAATTTAGTGGTCTTACATACTCAAATATAGACCAGTTTATCAATTGTTCTAGCTATTGCGACGTCGAGTATCATATAAGAATACAAAATAATAACTTGTTTAATTATAATTAATAACAATTAAGGTAATTCACTCATCGGGTGAATAATTGTAATTTAAACTAATTATCATAAAAACCAAAAATTCCCCAAAATAAATAGCGATATTCACCACAATGATCATATAGACATGTACATGTGAAATCTCAAGAAAAGGTACTTGCCTTTTTGTGTTTCATCTATGCGAAATTTCTCCATTGCAATGTCAACTGCAATTTTCACCTCTTCTCCAACGCAAATGTCATGACGCAAACCCTTTCCTTTTCCTCCACTGCTGCTACTCCCCACGCTAGAAGGACGTGGAGATGCACTGTTGGGGCGCTGCATATTGCTTACTCTGAATACACAAAAGAGCATAATTTTTATATTTTCATAACAACAGTTTTTAGGACAACAAGGTGATTATATTAGAGCTCATGCTACTCCCCATGCTAGAAGGACGTGGAGATGCACTGTTAGGGCGCTGCATATTGCTTACTCTGAATACACAAAAGAGCATAATTTTTATATTTTCATAACAACAGTTTTTAGGACAACAAGGTGATTATATTAGAGCTCATGCTACTCCCCATGCTAGAAGGACGTGGAGATGCACTGTTAGGGCGCTGCATATTACACAAAAGAGCATAATTTTTATATTTTCATAACAACAGTTTTTAGGACAACAAGGTGATTATATTAGAGCTCATGCTACTCCCCATGCTAGAAGGACATGGAGATGCACTGTTAGGGCGCTGCATATTGCTTACTCTGAATACACAAAAGAGCACAATTTTTATATTTTCATAACAGTTTTAGGACAACCAAACTGGAAACACTGACAAAATATCCACAGGTCAACCCAGACCTTCAAACCGGGCATAGAAAGCTATTTAAAGTTAAGTTATCCAATTTGGAGCCCTCGGAAAGATACGCCCTATACCCCAAGTATGATATAGGTTCTCTTCTAAAAATCTTCGTATGCACATAGTACTTGTAAATTAAAATTGCAAAATTGAATTCTTTGAAAAGTAAGTTCCCAAAATATCCCACTATTACGTGCTAAGTAGGGAATTTGGAATGAATTTTTGGTGAATTAATATGACGTAATATTGTTTTTATTTAATTGTTTTGTAGCGCTTCAGTTCAGTTTTTATACAGTTGAAAAAGGATCCAGACAGGATCCGAAACGTACTGGTTATTGTAAAATAAAGGTTGTGGAAAGAAGAAAAATATATTTTGTAGTTATTTATTGTAAACCTACTGTTCGTTAGTTCATTGTAGTTTTCTGATACGATTTGCAATTTTGATTTTGACAGAAACTGACCGGCATTTTCTGTTGGTTCCAAAGCGGTCTCCAATATTTTCGTAATTATACATGAATATGGTCACAGGGAGGTAAGGGATGGTGTGTATTGATTCATAAGGTATGTATGCTTGTTTGGATCACATTATTTATAAGATATGTACATGAAATCAGGGTTTAATTAGTTCCGCATGTCGACTCGAAACCTGCGGAACTATTAAATTACCGCATCAAAGGCAAAATGATCTAGATTTATATCAATAATCTGCAAAAGGCTAATAATATGATGATCATGGATAGACCTAGTCGGCCCATAAGACATGTCAGATAAGAAACGAGGCCCCTGACTAGGTCTAATGTTGTATAGAGATATAGAGATATAAAGATCAAAGTCAATTTGGCAGTTTGATTTTTGCAACCCCAAATCAGCCAATATTATTTTTCTTATAAACAAGAATAACAAAACTGAATTTGGGTTCCCCAACAAGCCCAAATCAAACTGCAATTGGCTGTGACAAAAATCCAATCGAAAAAACAGAAACTGAAATGAAAACAATGATCCATTTCGATAAATCATTTGATTTCTAATCTCGGAGTTGCATTGACACTGAGTTAAAATGGAAATCAAGTTGAGGGGAAATGCTTACCTTGAAGTAGGAGTGACTTGAACCCCCGAAGGATGCATGTATTGGTGATTTCTAGGCCCGACAGTAAATTGTTGACGATTTGCGGCCATGTTGGTAAGCGCGCGAACCGACAGGGGATTCGAAAAATTTGACTCCGCTAGCGTACCCATTATACAGTATTGGGAGCTGCAATTGATACGATCACATATGCAAAAGATTGTACTGAAGGGATACTAATATACGATTGCATAAAGTGCGCAATCGACGATGTCGTTTAGTAGACTCAACTCGTTGTAAGTGACGGGTGCTTCTCCTTTCGAGTAAATTGTTTTGATTGGTGTCTTAGAAGTGAGTGCTACAAAAATTTCCAGAAAATGATTGATATCTTACTTTGGATAAAATAGAATAGGGTCAATAGATATCCTTGATTATCCTACACTTAGTGTACTAAATGTATAATAACATGAAAAAATAAATTTGATATTTATTGGCAAAATGAATATCCGGAGGATATCGTAACGATATACTCCGGGCGGAGGATATCGTGACGATGCTCCGGAAAACCCAATATGCGGAGGATATTGTGACGATATACTCCGCTTGTTGATTTCCCGCCAAATTGACTCTATTTGGCATGAAATTCATTTTACAATGATATTATACATTCAGTACACTCTTTGTAAGTGTAGGACATGGCGTAGAATAATGGAAATAGCGTCATGAATCCCGGGACAATGAATCTCGGATCCAAGTACGTCATTAATGGTCGAAAATCAAAATATTGACATATATATAACCTAAAAGGCCGAAAGATTATGCGGCAAATATTGAAACGGGGGTTGTCAACATATTGTATTAGCTTTGATCTCTTAGAATCCGTTGAATCCTAAGCGACTGGAGTTGTTTAGATCACTTAACGAATGATATGAAATGATGAGGATTTGGGTTTTTTCAAAGTTTATAATGGCGGCCAATGGGGGATTTTAGCAAAATATCCCGAAAATTAAATCATTAAAAGGCCGAAAGATCTGTGGATGGATTTTGCTGTTTTATATATCAAAATGAACACTTCGTAAGGTCTAACAAGGATCCGTTGAATCCTAAGAAAATAAATGATTTGCTAAAAAGTTATTAAGATTTTAAATTTTGATGAAGACTGCTCTCCATTGAAATCTTTGGACCATGAAATGTCGATTTACGCGCATGCGTTGTGACGTTATTTCCATTATTCTACGCCATGATAATAAGAACATCCTATGATTTTTTTCAGAATATCATTTTAATCTACTCGGTGATATTGATATATGCACTCGTTCGCTTCGCTCTCTCGTGCAAATATCAATATCACCTCGTAGATAAAAATGATATTCCTCAAAATCATAGGATATCCTATAATTATGTTCTCATGATTTCGAATTGCAAATTTTAACATTACTGCTTTATTAGATTGGTTTTGAGCATGTATTTCAAGTATATAGATGTTCGATACACCAAATTACGCGGCAAACTCAAATATGCAATTTCGTTTAGTGCTACTGATATAGTAACTGAACCGGGGCAGGACTAGTCTTTCCAACAAGATAATCCAGTGAAAAAGTCACTGAAAAACTACAAAGACCCGAAGTTAGGTATAAGGGGCGGAAAAGATGGAGTGATAGTGAAATGTTGCTTTTAGTGGAATCTATTTAAGTAAATGGTTATATGTCACCATGTAGCGCCACTTATACTATTAGGCTATACTGGTATATGTTCTGGTTGGGGTAGGGTTACTTACAACATGGGCTCTAAGGAACTCTATTGTTATTTTTGTAAATGACTTTTTTACCAAGAACAATATAGATAGCGCTTCGTGCTCTTTTACGTTATGTTACATTTTGCAAGGGGTTCATTAAAACAGATTTTCAAACTTTGAACACAATTTCTATATCTGTTTTTTTGTGTTTTGATGCAGTATTGCATTACCAAGAAAAAGTTTAAATATACGCATAAACTCTAACAAAACTTCATTATGTCACCATCTCTACACGGTGACATAAAACAATCATGTAACTTAAGCACATATTTCAGTTTATTGTGGCGTCTTATAGCCCAAAAATATACAACAAATCTCAAAAAGTCCAATTAAATCCCTAGTGAATGACATCTGGCATGTCTGGACCCTGATAGAAACTCATTGGATCTTGTCGTGACATCATTTGGAATCTGTGGAAGGTTCTAATGTACATCATCCTTCTTGACCTTTGTTATTATTACCGTGCCCTGGAAATATGAGATAAAAGCATATCTTATATGTGTGGCCTTAGTCAATACATTTCCTGCCTGTCTTTGTACAACATTTATACAATGAAGATATTTCATGTATTCACACAGTTCATACTAATAGTTTTTTAAATACAATATTATGATCATTGTATTAGTACTTCTTGCAACATTAACCGCGGCTCAGAAGGGTCGAAACACTCTTATTACTTTGTCATAAATAGAAAATAAAACAGAGAAAAGAAATAAATCAGTTTTAAGTTTAAGACATACAAATTACGTTTCCTCCGTTTTTAAAGTAGCACGTTCATAGAATGAAAACGGTAATGTATAGATTTACGTTTGTGGTTCATGTACCGTAATAAAAATAGTATTGCTTTACCTCTCTATTGTTACAAAATATACCTTAGCTTTTAGTCTTTTGATCTCTTGATTTGATACATACCTTGACACCTTAGCATATACACTTCTACAGTAAACTTTTTTATTGTCTACTGAGTCCAAGTCTTGCCGATTTCACACCTGATTTGTAATATATGTCTTTGTTGACATAACATTTATAATTGTTTGCGTTATTTGTTGTTGCACTTGTTGTTGGTGTGCGTGGTCGTATGCATAGGATCTTGTTGTTGTTGGCGTTCTTGTTCTGAAAAAGAAATGAATTTGGGCTAGTATATTCATTTGAGTTCCGACCTTGACCTTCCAGTTTAGAAAACTATCGTTCTTATGTAGATGGTAATAGCCAGTCTCGTCACATAAGTCTCGCGGGAGGCATCTAAGGTTCAATGTCGACGGCCGGGATAAGCCTATAAAACTAAATAAATCGTGAATAAATGCTGTGCCTACTGTTGTTGTCACATGTTTTAAGAATTCTGCATTGTAGCCTACATCCAATGAAAATCGAAAATCCACGAAAGTCCACACGCGAAAAGTCTGCGATGATCACGTTTTTGGGGGAGGGGGTCAAACTCAAAACTAGATTAATTTAGTTTCCTATCAGACATTGAACTTTTGATACCTCTCCTTGCAAACACCATAGCATCATACTAACCATTTACAGAACATTAAATATATCAGTGTTGACTATTTGAACCATCCGAAAAACTCGTTGAACCATGACTCATGAGTAGGCCTAACTAAATTTCTTCAAGTTCATAAATTGATTTTAAGCCACTTCTGGCTCGAATAATGATTCAGTAAAATAAGAAGTTACAATTCTATTCATTTCTACAATCAATTTGAAGTGAAATTCGCGATTATAAATACTGAAAATCAGGCTTTAAAATGACAGAAATGTTAAAATACGCTTACCCGTTCAGACAAAATTGAGAGCAATGGCGGACAATGCGTTCTACGTCACATGACGACATTACTTGGAAACACAATCGATCCGTAATCGCGTCATATGACGACTTAGTAGTTCCCTTGACAATTTGCCATATAAGGTAATAAAGGCGGTCTTTAGGTCACGTGACCGATCTACTGGTCCATGTCGGGAATAAGGTACAAAGAACCGCACTTCGTGGGGGGTCTTTGTAAAAAAGCCAATGCTGTAGTTTGTATAGTCTATCATGTTTAAATTATCAAAGAAGGTTAGTTTATTAGAAAGTATACACCTACATGTACCATGTTAGAGGATCCAATTTATTTCATCTTCCTATACTCAAGTCTAATTCAGACCCGTAGCCAGGATTTGTCATGGGGGGCGGGGGGAGGGTCTAAGTTGACATTTTTTAATTTCTAAATATTGGTTTCACCATGGGCTTTCAACAGATACTGAATGCATTATTTAAAACAATTGTTTCGATCGTTAGTTTGTCCTAATAATATTTCTTTAAGTGACATAACGTTAACATGATTAACATTAACATGATTAATAAGAATTTGCAGCAAAACTAGACGCATCACAAGGAAACGAAAAGTGTTGGGGCCATTATAGCAGAGAGGGTCGAATTTCCACATTGAAATAACATGAATAAAGCATTGCTAGCAATGGTTCTTCTTGGTTCAGTTGTAACTATATTTTGTACACGTCCAAGATGCAAAAATACCGCTACTGTACAATCATGATAAACCATGACATCTCAAATCTTATCAGCCCTGAGAACTGTTTCAGGTCATATGTGAAACAGAAAGTTGCTATGAGTATCAGAATGCTACTGTACGTGCATATGAAACCTTGAGTTGATGAAGTTACGAACGTTCACCTACATGTAACAGCTTGTATAAAACATTTGAACATACATCATATTTTCTCAGGACATTCATTTCAGACATGCTAAATTATGTATGATGGCCTTGTAAAGGTCATTGAACCACGTGTTCTACAAGTTTTTGATAATTTAATGGGTCCACACTTTTGGCAGTTTGGTGTGTGCCGCGTTCTATTCCCGGTGAAAATATTTAATGTAATGATATAATTACCAATTTATAATCATGATATCATCATCTCCATCATTTGTGTCTCTAAGAAGTTCCAGAAGATCCTCAGACTGGGCTGCTCTCTCAATTTTTCCCCCCATATATTCCTGTACTGTCTGAGTGACATCATACCAAATATCGAGGATCTCTCACTACGTTGAATCTGTCACTACGTTGAATGTGAATGTCTTCCTTTGGACGCCCCTTTTTCCCTTTTTTAATACTTTTGAAAAGGGACAAATGTTAAACCAATTGGCATCAAGTAAATTCATACAAAAATGGAAACATTGACTAAACGAAAATTAAATAAATTTACTGTTTAATGTAAAAATATATTTCATGTGACATACCGCACTGAAAATCAAAAATCAAATGCTAAATCCATCTACCATGTATTTAAATATCTGTAATGTAAATTATTCAATTGTTTATCTATTGTAATCAAAAATGGCTTCGCACATATGATGTGATTTATAGAAATACCATCTCCTGAAAAACCATGTTGACCAATAAATTCAAAAAACGCAACACAAACAGTGTGTTGAACATGTGCATAACTATGCTAAGTAAATTATCATACTATGTGGATTATTGAAATACCAAGCCCCAAAAACCATATTAATCAAGAGAATCCCCCAAAATCCCCAAATGCAACGAGTGCTTGACCCTGGATGAGTGTGTGGTGCACGTGCGTTACTATACTACGTAGTTAACATATGTACGTATACCTAATATATAAAATAGTGGAATTATGCATAGTTATGAGGCTAAAGGTAACAGCCTGTGATACACAAAATATTAGGCATTTTTAATAAACCACACCTTGTGTACAAAAATGACATCGTGTCAATACACTAATTAGTTGGAGACATCATTTACAACATTCGGCAATTAAGTTAAATGGTAATCTCAACATTGAATCTATTACATAAAACGATTTCAACGGAGGATGGATTAAATCATTTTCTTTTAAATATGTGATTATGTTTCTGTATGGATGTGACAAAAAACATCACAGAAAAATGATTTGACTTCAATAAGTAAATATAACAAACCAAACAAACGAACAAAAAACTCAGGATATATAAAATGCAAATAAGCAAAGGTATAACGGGTACATCGTTAGGGATGCTGAATGGGTTGCTAGTAACTTTTGTGTTACTGGACATGGTGACCCAGGCATTTGCAGAAGGAGCATATACTGGTAAGTGATACATATTTATATATTTAAACATTTTCTTTCTGTTGCCTAGCTCATGAAGGTGAGAGGCCTGTTTTATCCTTTTCCCTACGTTCAATGCATCAGCATTTCAATAATAGATATAAACAAATATAAGGCAGATTTGTTTAGGATTTCTTGTAAAATACAAATGAACGAAAATCAGAATAACCTTAAAACATTTATCTAAAATACCTTGTTTTACTTGTATGTAAATTAATGGATTATTTATTGTTTTTCTGATATTGCCATTCATGATTTCATTGTTCATCGCTACAGGCAAGCCCTCACTTTCTCTCAAAGTCAGCCCAATGGAATCGCAATCTGGATACGCCCCGAGCTTTGGAGCTGAAATACGACTTCGCTGTCAGATTACTGCATTGCCGCATATCGATGCCAAAAACACTATGTGGAAATTCAACAATGCAATTCTTTTCACTGGAAACAAATACACATTGAATAAAGTGCCCAGTATGGGATCAGTGGATGAAGTGACTATGATTTTGACAATACATCATATTAATATTAAAGATGTCGGCAACTACACGTGTGAAGCGAAGAACTCAGATGGGATGTATAAGCATGCAACTGTTGAAATAAAACCAAGTAAGTATACTTGTTTGTTTGTTTGTTTGTTTGTTTGTTTGTTTGTTTGTTTGTTTGTTTGTTTGTTGGTTCGTTTGTTTGTTTGCATCCATATTTATTTCGGAAGATATCTTACAGTTTTGACTAGTTAGTTCAACTCTGGCATGAAAACTGGATGGCAATTCCTCAATGTTCATATTTCAATGATATTAATTTTGTTCAATTGGGATGTTCACCTTTGTTCTCAATCATCTAATGTTTATGGGTTTCACTCAAGCATTTTCCATTAACTGGTAAATCTTTAATTAATAAGAACTTTGCCTTGTAATGCTGAAAATAAATAATTGAAACCAAGATAATGAGTCCTCATTACATTGTTTTTATCGAATATAAATCAATGAATAACTAATCATATAAATCTTGCATTGCTCAAATAACTCACATGAAAAACTCAAATGTAATTTTCTGGATATTAAGATACCTTTTATTGATAATGTTATGGTAATTGGTCGCATGCATGTAGCAGTGGCGTCAGCACAAAATAATTGGCAATTACATGATCTAATCAATCATTATGGTTTATAGGTTCTGCATTTTTTGCATAATTCTCAAAAGCTTGGCTTACACTAAGCGGCATTTTTACCGATTTTGTATTTCTAATGGGACAAACCGCTGATCTTTTGACAGTCTCAAATGGAGCTTTTGGTCAAACCTCAGTTTTTGATCAGTCTTGGTCAGTCTTTTCCAAAATCCGAAGGGGTCAGATTAAACAGAATGGGAGGATTGGGCAGGTCAGTTTTTCGATCTTTGTCGGACTTTTCGTGTTCAAAGCACGACTTGAATGCGACCTATCACTATGGAAACAATAAATAGCTTCACCTGCCCCAATAGTACTCTTGAGAAGGCGACAGGATTCGAGAAAACCTATCAGGCTATTATATATACAAAGAACACTATGATACGACGTCAGATACTGTACATCGCGGCATTTTACTGCATTTTTACATGCGTACTTACTTTTAAAACTGCAATATCTCGAAAGCAAAATCATATTTTTCTACAATTTTTCGTCATCAGTTGAACACGTGTGTCCATGAAATATTTTGCCTATCAGAATTCCAAATAACTGATTTGGGACTTTTTAAATGAGAATCACGCAAGCCGTATTATGCGACTTTCTATGCTAAAACCGGGTGTGGACTGTAACATTTTGAAGAAAAATGATTTTAATTTTAAACGAAAAATGAAGATAACTTTTTATTTCTCAACGGATCTTTCTCAAATTTTCACATTATTTAAATTCACCATTTTGGAAAAGACAAAGAGATTCTGTGTGATGACGTCATAATATAACAATGCTAACTTAACGCTTATATTTATGCAAAAAAGTGTGGACAGGCAGAATTTCGTGCCAACAAGATATATATTTTGATCAATTAAACATTAAATCGTTTGAAAGGTGAATTATTCTTTTTTGATTCTTGAAAGGCATATCATATTCTATATTTTTATCAAAAAACTATATAATTTCGATTAAAATTCAGTCAGTAAGAAGTATAAATTGAAAGAAATATGAAGTGAAGCCATGTGAAAAATTCACAAAATTACGTTTCATTTTTTGAGTTCAAATATTTCTAATTAAGGAATAAACATTCAAAACTTTCCAATGTTTCAGCGTGTTCTTTTAAATATATCCCTTACTACATACAATTAATTTCATTTAATTTGAACCAGTATATATTGAGATAAACATCATTTTACCACTGCAACCCCAAGTGAAGCCTTTACAAAATAAGACGTTACGCCGTTAGCGTATTATATGTTCTTCTTTATTATTCATTGCTTTAAATAAATAAAATTAAATATTCGAGTTAAAATAAATTACAAATAATGCATTTAACAATCTTTAATATCTCCCCGTCTGTGTATATCAGTTGAATATGACAAGGGGCATTGTGGAGGAGTCTAGAAAGACGGTGCGACAACGAGAGCGCAGGGCCGAAAAGCGCGACAAAGAAGAAAACGGGTAGGGTTTGAAATGTCTACTTTCTGGTGATTCTAATTCTGCATATCGTGACACAACCTTTTTGAATATAGAATTGTATTGAAGCGCACATCAATCTAAACAAAACTTGAAGTTTTTAAGAAGATTCCACGAATATTAAAACTTTTGCAATAACTTGGAGAAGCATTGCGCATATTTATCGCGTAAATCTTTGCATTTTGTCGGTAAAATGAACAATTACAATGTTACGCCGTGATGTACAGTATCTGACGTCGTATCTATGGGATTCGTTTGGGTTATCTGAGGATCGTACAGGCCTTAAAACCCCTGTGAAAAGAGACTTGCGGGACTGGCCAGTGTTGTTAACCATTTGTGTTTTCCATTCAATAATCAAAAATTTGACTGTCAATTCAAAATTTGTTCCAAATGTCATCAATGTATTACTGAATAATCATCTTACCTCTGTTTTTCAGTGGGGCGAAAAGAGATTGATTTTAAGGTCTATACCAAAGCATCATCTATAGAGACTCGCGGAAGAGGCAGGATAGGGGGTCCTCCTGGAAGCAATGAGAAAAATGTCACAGTAACACAGACCACCCAATCCAGTGATGCCAGCGACATTAGAGCTATGAACATTGAATTTATTACAATTGGATTGATAGTGTTCTCCATGTTATAACTACTGTAAATGCACCTCCTCCATAAATTTGGCATCTAGAAGTCCCCTTTAGGCTCACTTATCAAGGCCTGGTTGGTTGTACTTGACGATTTTAAAGAATTCACCATATTTGTCAAAAAGTTCTGAGCTATTGCAATTGAAGCACAAAATTACGATTCGATCAATGACAGTTGGTATGCTATCCATTGAAACCTTCCAGTTGCCAAACTTATGGAGGGGAGTGTATTAATTAGATAATCATCTCGAGAAAGGACAAATGAGTCTAACTATGTTATATAAGGATGTCAAAAGAATAAGCATGTGTTATGACAATACATTATTAAATTAGATCACATCCTTGCAATGTCATATGATGTAATATTAATTTGTAATTGTACATTTAGAATTATTAAAAGATGAAAAAATGTACATGTACATTCTCCGACTATCATCAAATGAGGAACATAATTCATGGGCCTTTTTATGGGCAAGACAATAGAATAATAAAAGTTCCAGAAAATAATCTCAAGTATTTATTGAATGAATTTAGAACAAGCAATAGTTTATCCCAAGGAAACCAAATTATACCTTTATATCTTTGGTATATTTTTAATTGATACCTTACAGTGAAAATGGGACCCCTGATTTATCTTTACAACACAAGAGATTCTAAACCATGAATGCCATTACATAGTTTTTTCAGGCACTTTATCTATATTCTATATGACAAGTTGATTATACACAGGGTAGTCAAAAAACGGAAACCCTGTCGCCATTTTCCTCATATCTTTGTCATTTTAGGAAATTACTCCATGATATTTGGCACATTTGTACATCATTCAATTTACAACCGGCCTACCATGATTTAATGACCATCAAACTTTCGGCAAACCTGCACCCATCATCCAAAATGTCCCTACCTAACTTCAACCTGTGGTGATACACCAAAAAAAAGTGTACGAGAATAACCTCAGACCTGCAGACCTCAAAAAGGAGATCATCCATGTCATTCAGGCCATACCTGCAGAAAAATGTAGTCAGATCATTGACAACCTGTTCAAATTTGCCAATATGGCGATGGTGGCCACACTGGGGCATCTTGTTCAAAGTGTGACTATCAATCTGATGGTCATGAAATATTATTAGCTGGTAGGAAATTGAATGTTGTACAAATGTTACAAATATCAGCAGAGAGTAAATACCTAAAATGACAAAGATATGAGGAAAATGCAGGGTTTCCTTTTTTTGACCACCCTGTATAATATTATGAAAATATATATTATGAAAAAAGAATGCCCAAAATGGCAAAAACATCTTTTCTATAGCAAATGTATCTTCGTATATTAAAGTCATATATTGCTAAAATAATTATGAAAGAAATTAAAAAAAATGTTGTACTGAATAAAGAAATATTACTAACTCAAATCTTTACTGGCATAATCAATATACGACTTAAAACTCTGTCAATAAAATATGCACTTTAACAAATTCATAATATCCCAATCCGTAAAACTCCAAAAACAATATTTAACAGTTAAAAACAAAAGGTAAAATATATATTATTGACTATATGACAAAGGGTGGAAATGCATAAAGGAATACACAGGTTATTAATTCTCAGTCATAGGTAGAATTTATTCAAACATATTTATTAGACAACATATGTGCATTCGTCTAATTGTTGTCATCTTAGCCAATTACTTAGACATGATATGAATTTAAATGCATTGAAAAAAATTAGTAGCTTCCTGCCATAACATGATTTTAAATAATTACGTTATGTCATTACGAACTTACTAAGGGCAACATGCAAGGCATTAATATGCAAAATACCACTACCTATCATTTGTTGCACATGCCAATCGCCGATCACCAACGGCCGAACGTCAACCACCGAACATCGTCCACAAAATGTTGAAGACTATAAAAATATCCTACCACTTGTGGTGGTAACATAAAAATAAATAGTACCATGGGTACTGGGCTCACATGGTGTTAAATGAACCAACGGCCGAACGTCAACCACCGAACATCGTCCACAAAAAGTTGGAGACTATAACAATATGTCACCATTCTTGGTGTTGACATAAAAACCAGGCATTTCGCTTGTTTTAATGCAATAAACAATATACCCTTAAATATACCTGTATGTTTGGAATGACGGTTATTAATGAATTAAAATTTAAGAAATTAATTGTGTTTTCTGAAAATTATGACTCTAAATATAATCAAAATGTGTTTAAATGTAATTATTTTAATTGATGAACTAAATGTTTATTTATACAGGGACAATGCTAATCTATGATACGTGGAGTGATGTACAGGAATTGGCAAAATGTTATCACTGTGGGGGCAATAAACCAATAAATTAATAAATGGAACAATTAAATACTTCAATTAGGTTCAGATATCTAAACATGAGTAGAAAGTTCACTTAAAATGAGAAAACAGAATGAGCAATTTCAGAGAACTTGAATAAAAACAAGAACAAGAAAAGGAAAATCACAAAGGGAAATATTAAAATATTTCAAGTAACACCTTATATTTAGCATCCTGACATCTATAAATGTTTACAAGTTTTAACACCATAACATACGACATCAATTTTCTTCGGTGATTGTATTGATGTTATACATACATGTTTTGTTGTCTTGTTGGACTGCCCATATTCCGAAATCATTCATTTGGGTGAATATTGATCGATAGGGTTGGGATTTTCCATTCACAAAAATTAAATAATCTGGGAAGGGTGGAGGCTGCAGGGTCCCAATAAGTGCACTTTTTGGTCATTACTGGGCCTTATAATTAAATTTTTGGCCAAATTATCAAAATGCGGCTTTAAATTTTCAAACGTTGGGCACACTTATCAGTTTTAGGTGCGCAATTTTTTGTGCGGAATTTTGTTGGTTCTCAGATCCGCTCCGAATCAATACTGTAAAACCCGCCTAACGCTAACACCATTGGGACCTGCCAAAAAAGTTATACAAGTTTTTTTTATATATGAGAATATGAGAAGTGAAAATTGGGACCGAGAAAACTGGAAAACGTGTACACATTGAGGGACGTTCAAATTAGAGAGGTGTTCGGTCATTCAGATTTTAATGTTTTGTGATAATTTGTATTATGGTGAATTAAAGTGATCCTATGTGACAAATCTGACAAACACATAAGATGTCATATGGTCAAAATCCTTCCCATAATCTTTGGGACAATACCAGAAAGCTGACGTGGTCTGATGTGTCATCTCAATAAAGCTATTAAACTCTCCAAGAATCACTTCAATGTCTTAACTCTAATCTAGCAGAGTGGTTGCTGCATGATTAGAACAGAATTCAATTTCAAAATATTATCGATATCAATTCTCAAAGTTTGTGTGTTTATCCAAAATCAATGTGTTCATTTCAAACCCGTGTAGTCTTAATTTCTGGTGAGTTTATTCAAAATCAATTCACAGGACCTTCAGAACATGGCTGACTTATTAAACGGGCACGTGCACGCCATAAAGTATCAAAACATTCCACTACTTTAACTGATTTTTTCTTTAAAATGTCCGTTGTAATTGCATGCAAAAAACAAAATTCAATGACTTTCTAGAATAATCAAACTCAAGAGTAACCAATACAATTACAAGAGATAATTGATGAGTAAATAGTTTTCTGTAAAAAAAATAGGTCAGTTAAAGGTCAATTGGGACAAAAACATAAACATGGTCAGACTATCACATGGTCAGAATCCTCCTCATCCTCCGCACCAAAGATTAGAGAAAAGTTGAGAGTAACTTTTTAAAATATTTTTGCTCGTAATATTCGATCCATATCTTACATATTTTGTATTTTCCATTTTTCATATACTTCCTTGTAAAAAGTATCATTTAAAGGGGGCGTCGTGACTTCAGTTGAGTATTAATTTTGCCGATAATCTCAGAGGAAACACAGACTTGAGATGGCCCCTTTAATTACCGAAATAAGGATTATTGTTTGATTGACAGCTCTCTGTTGGAATCAAATGACAAAAGCTACTCGTGTTACACCTACACGATCTGAACTCAACAGCTCAAATATGGGATAATAACAATTGGATATGTTATATTTCAAAACTACATAGTGCTACAGAGAGCAGACGCTAATGAACAAAGTGGATTGATGGTGTTCAAAAACAAAGTAAGTTTTTTTAAATTTATATTTATGATTGCTTAAAATGTATCGAGTGTGATTTCTTTATCACGATAACATTTGAAACATGTAATTTATAATTATTTCTTAAATTCATAATGTTGAATCATTCATTTCCTAGAATTCTGGATACTATCTATTGGCAATTTGATTTAAATATATTTTGAAAGTGGTACGTATATAAAGAAAGAAATGGTTACCATTTTACAGTGGTGTAAAACTATTAGGAGTTTCATTACATTCTTTTTCATTTAAACTATTGGGGGTTAGGTATATTTTAAATGTTTGGCTTCCTCGTATCGATGGAATAATTATGTAACATTTATTTGTGAATAAAAACATAGCAAAATTAGATATAATTGACACATTTCTAAGGGTTGATTGACAAAGATTTCCATTTTAGTTCTCAATAATCTAAACATCAATGTTTTTTGTAGTATTATCTGACATCTATATTCTTCAAGTGGTTGTATTTTCACTCCAACCTTCAAACGTTCCACTTGTTTATTTTCCACAACTTGGGGATTTATGCTTATGTCACGACGGAGACTTGCCACAGTTATTTTAAGTTCTGAATAATGTTTTAAATTGTTTTCCAAACAGGTACTTGTGCTATGTATATTTTCATGAGACTTGTCGTGTTAAGAGTCTCGTGTCATAATCAGTTTGTATGTGAGGTTTTCACACTGAGCTGTCTTGAAGGAACCGTTATAGCTCAGCTGTGACCAGCGACTTTAATTAAAGGACCACTGTCTGTAAGTCGGACACAAAAATTACCACAAAAATCATATGGAACCTAAGCTTACGTCATCTAAAAACTTATAACTAAATCCATCAACCTTCTTTCCTTCACGAGCAGCGTGACAACTTCCAAATAAGAGTTACAATATTTTGGGGGTGAATCAGAAACAATGCATAACATATTACCAGGCTCAAATTAAAATAAACTCAATATACCGAAGTACGTAATAAAAGTTAGTATGTTACAAATATGAGTGGAAAGTATTAGAGGAAAACAATTAAAAACACATGAAAACATTATCGATCCATGGAACCCATCCTTAATCCAGCAATATGATATCATAAAATAAACATTCAAAATTCAATGTGATAGCCAAACTAAAACCTTATAATGTATACGAGAAAAAAGATAGACTCGTGCAAGATGAACTTAAGAGTAACGGCTTATAGATTTTCCCATGATCATTGATTTTTTA